TCGGTATTTATGAAGAATGTGCCACGTATGCAATAAGCAGTTCTTAGTTGCTGTGTTAACCATTTATTGAAATTTCATATCTACATATAATCCGAGTTCTGATGCTTCGAATTATATCTGGTCTTCATGGATTGCAGGATTTTGTATCAAGAAATTGATTATATAAATGAAGGGAAGAATGCTGACAGGTTTCGCAGGGACTTTCGTAATATAAAGTGGGTTCGAGTACCTGTATGTTTCTTGCCACAGAGCTACAACAATTAAAACTGTAGTCTTTGTACTGTCTTTCTGAGTTATATCTTGACGATGTTTCTTTCCCTTTTGTAGAATGTCTTTTGGGATTATACCGCCATGAAGGTGTTGACGTTGGAGTATGTACCAGGTTTCACTCTATACTAATGTTTTCGTTTTGTCCAGATCTTGTGTTTTTCATAAAAATCACTCAGTAGATTAATGTGGTCCGGCGTCAATTTTCTTTTGTTGGTAATCCTTGATGAGAAGTCTTTCTTCTGTTTCAGGCATTAAGATAAATCGGCTAGACATGCTAGATTCACAGGGTTTTAATCGTGCTCAAATTTCATCACGTGCTATTGAAGCATACCTGATCCAGGTCAGGAAATGCGTTCTTCTGTCAACCAGCTGACATGACTACGCTCTTCTTGACATGAATGTGATGACTATTTTGTACTGAATGGATGCATCTATTCCTTGACTGTGTCTGTTTTGTTTTGATTACCATAATTCACAGTTAACTATCTTAGCTAAGTGCTTGATTAGCTGGACTTTGCTATTCATGCAGATACTCAGAACCGGTTTCTTCCATGCTGATCCTCATCCAGGAAATCTTGCCATTGACGTGGATGAAACGCTGATCTATTATGATTTTGGTATGATGGGAGATATTAAATCTTTCACCCGGGAGAGACTGCTTGAACTTTTCTATTCTGTATATGAGAAAGATGCAAAAAAGGTGTGCTTTCTATGCCATAATCTGAAGGAAACCGATTAAAATATAAACACTAATCATCTATTATTTTTGTAGAAAGTGTATTAAGTATTCATTTTCAATTTGCTTATTAAGCATTAGGATGGCCCCAAATCATGCATTTGAATTCATTAGGAATACAAAATATATCGTCATGTCTGGCCTTGCTGCAAAGGTTTAATCTCACAAAAGCCACTCGCAGGTTATGCGATGCCTCATTGATCTTGGAGCACTTCAGCCTACCGGAGATTTGTCATCTGTATGCACCATCTCAGTACTCATTATACATTTTAAAGGGAGAAGTCACTTGAGAGAGTGATTTTCAGAAGCATTTAGTGCTCTCTGTCTTACTCTTTCTTCCCCCAATGTCTAGGTACGGAGATCCGTTCAATACTTTTTGGACAATTTGTTAAGCCAGACACCTGATCAGTCGCAGACGTTTTCTGCAATTGGGGAGGTATGCACATACTGTTTTTTACTTGTTAACTTGTCTCATTTGTGTACACGATTGCGTGCTATTAGAGAAGATGCCCAGTAGCACCATGGCTAACCAAGCTACTGGTTTTAGGCTTTTAGCTCTTATAAAAAGGGCTAGAAAAGGGGAAAACAGTGGAAACGGGTTCTTCTACCAGACAATGAGATTGACTGCAATTCAGTTACAAAACGATGTCCTGGTGATGGTTACATGTGTCACTGCGCTGATGAAGATGTCGAGTCATTTTATCTTTTCGTTCTAAATATTCTGTTTTTAATCTAAAGTTGGTGACGGGGCTTTTCTTAATCACAGGATTTATTTGCAATAGCACAAGATCAGCCATTCCGATTTCCATCCACGTTTACTTTTGTCTTAAGGGCATTCTCAACCCTGGAAGGTACAACATTAAAACTTTTAAATCTTGATTCTATATTCTCCCGAGTTAAAATGAATTTTGTTTTCGGTCCAAAGACATTATCTGATAAGCATAAGTTAATATGTGTTTCAGGTATAGGCTATATTCTCGATAAAGATTTTTCCTTCGTGAAGATTGCTGCACCTTATGCTCAGGTTAACAACTATAAGTTACTATTTTGTGCGTGACAATTTCGTGTGTTCCTTAGCAATGGTTTGGAAGTACATCGCTGATATTATACGCTATATGCAGGAGCTTTTAGATTTAAGACAGAAGCAGCGTACGGGGACACAGCTTGTAAACGATATAAGGAAACAAGCCGATGATGTACTGCAGCCTAACTCTCTTTCCTTGCTTTAGTTCCTTGTTCTTGTTTCTGTTAAGTAAATAAGATTGCTTGCTTTGATTTCTATTTCAGAAAATGGTAAAACCAAAATGTTTATCAGTATTGGCACTAAGCGTTCTTGTGTGTGTAACTTTAGGCTAGAAGCTATACCATGTCGATGCCATACAGAGTTCAGCGAATAGAGGAGTTTGTGAAAGAGCTCGAATCAGGGGATCTGAAACTGCGAGTCCGGGTACTTGAGGTATGCAATCTTAACTTTAAGTACGCTTCTTTAGCTTTCCAAACTTCCCATCCCGTTATGTATACAAACACAACTGCACAAGTTCAATTAACATGAGTAAAACTACATTTTGGCAGTCGGAAAGAGCTGCACGAAAAGCAACAATACTACAGATGGCGACGATGTATACAGTCTTGGGAGGTACCCTGGTGAACCTCGGGGTCACTTTGAGCAGTCAAGGCAGTCAAGCTTTCGCAAATGGATCATTCATCGGTGCAGGTAACTTGTTACTCAAGAAAACTTTGATATAAACACACCTTCCGGTCCATTTCGTTGCATTCATCAAAGCTTTTGACGCTTTGCAGGAATCTTCTTCACGCTGTTAGCTAGGTCTATGCAGAGGGTAAAAAAACTTGAAAAATTCGAGAAGATGATCTAATGTCTCAACCGAAAGTCTAGAAGCTCGTCTTGCCATTGCAGTATAACGTCCATCTCGTCTCTCGTTCATCCCTCTAATTCTTCACCAGCTTCATATAGGCCCTTTTTCTTTTTTATTTTATTTTATTTTATTTTATTTTATTTTATTTTTTTTATGCATACACAAGAGTTGTGTGCCTTGTATACGATACACACAAACATGAAAATAATAGTGCCTCAGAAATTTGAGCCCTGTATATATGTATAAGCAATTGGTGACTGTACAAAGAGGCGATAAATTTATTATAAATTTTTAATTTTTAATTTTTTAAATTTTAGAAATATTAAATACAAGAACTTCTTTGTAGGGATTGTCATGCAATGTGTTGACGTTTAGTTGGCCATGGTGTGTCATCCGTTGGATGCAGTAGGAAAGTATCTTTAAGATGCTAGAACATCTTAAATATACTTGAGAAATAATCATGAAGATATTATTTAATTAATAATATCTTCGAATTATCTCGTGAAATTCTTGATTGGATCTGAGGGTAATTTCTTGCTTAATTACGTTATCCTTCAATTAGGAAAGCTTCAAATATAGGATTTGGTTATTAATCCTACTTTAATACAACTTTTTTCCTGCCTGGCCATGGGCATGAGAGTTTGGAGAAGTTGTAGTCAGCAACTTAAGTCTTCTTGAAGGTTGAGTTGCGTATGGAAGGGATGTGGACCTCATTAATTTAATGAGGCATTCTCATGTCTTGCAATAAAAGTTCACATGTCAGCTCCGTGATTTTCTAAATTATTTTTGGCTCTACAATATTCTATAGCAGTTCAAATCAACAATTTAACGATTATAACATATAAGAACATCATTATGATACCGAGACATATTATTTTATTAATATGAGCGAAAAGAAGATTTTTTTTATTTTTACTTTTAAAGAATTTTATAGACAATTAAAAAATTTCATGATGCAACACTCATTGCTTGTAAAAACACAAGAGAGAAAATACACATACAAAAATATATGACGATAATTTTAAAATGTCAATATCAACTTTGACTACGATATTTTGAACTGTTGGCCACGCTCCTTAAGTTAGAGAAATCTATAGCATACAAGCGTAATGTGTGGAGTGGACCAAGTGGCATTTTGATTTTTGGCTTAGAGCAGCCATACTTTCAACAACATAAATGTGAAATTAAAAAAACAAAAAGGCAGCACATCAGTGCTGGCTGAAGTAAAAGTTGCATAAAAGGGGCAAACGACATTTGAATTATCGGAGTCAACAAGGGTTGCACAAACTATGCAATATAATTTGGTGGTCGGTGAACTTTTCCCCAATCCTTCATCATCCCCCAAATTTTGTAATGTTTAGCATTTCATATATGAGTGATGCTATTCATACACATATTTTTACTTTTCACATATTTTTTTCAAATTTTAATCGTTAAAACAAATAAATTAAAGAAGATGAATTGCAAAAAATTATCAAAAGTGTGTGGGAGGTAAAAATAAACGCGTGAATAGCATTATTCTTTCCATCAAAATACATGACAACAATGAATTATTAGCTACCCAAATTTCATTAATTTTGTCCTAAATGTGTGCGAACTATTATTTATGCAAGTAGTGGATTGTTTTAGCTCATTTTTTATAAATTCATTATGTATCGAGTTTGAACTTTCTTTTTTATCTGATTATAATTTAGAGAAAAAATATTGTTTGTGTTATATATATATATATATATATATATATATATATATATATGCAAGGATGATTTTAGTAGTGTTATTATATATATGTACTCATTTGGCCGTTGGTGGTTGACTTGACCATCCAAATTCCAAAAGTATATGTGGAAAGGTAGTGTTATTTACGTACTTATTTTTAGTTTTTATATTTCTCTCAATTTTTGATTGCCGGATCGAATGAATTGAAAAAAGATCGATAACAAAAAAGTAATAAGAATGTGTAAGAAATAAAAATAGACATGTGAATAACATTATCTATTTGCAAAGTCATCAATCATGTTCATAATAAATCATTTCACAATTCAATATTTTGTCTCTTTTAATTATAACTAACTTGATTTCTTTTTTGTTCATAAATCATAGTCCAAATTCAATTACTTATTTCGAGGTGGACATCGTTGAACGCTTGAACTCATCACTACCAAAATCAACTTCAACTCCATAATACAATTATTTCTAGTTTAGTCCAACTAAGTTAACAATGATTGCCACCAACTTAGCTTATTAATCATGCATTTTCGCTTTGCTTATTAAGCATTAGGATGGCTCGGAATCATGCATTTGAATTCATTAGGAATACCCAAAATATATCATCATGTTTTGCCTTGTTGCAATGTTTAATCTCACGAAAGCCACTCGCAGGTTATGCAACGCCTCATTGATCGTGGAGCACTTCAGCCTACCGGAGATTTGTCGTCTGTATGCACCATCCCAGTACTCATTATATATTAGAAAGGGAAAGGTCACTTGATAGGGTGATTTTCAGAAACATTTGGTGCTCTCTTTCTCTCTCTTTCTTCCCCATTCTCTAGGTACGGAGATCCGTTCAATCCTTTTTGGACAATATGTTAAGCCAGACACCAGATCAGTCGCAGACGTTTTCTGCAATTGGGGAGGTATGCATATACTGTTCTGTACAGTTCTTGTTTTGTCTCATTTCTGTACACGCAATTAAAGAAGATGCTCAGTAGCACCATGGCTAACCAAGCTACTGGTTTTAGCTCTTATAAAAAGGGCAAGAAAAAGGGGAAACCAGTAGAAACAGGTTGTACCAGACAATGAGAGTGACTGAAATTCAGTTACAAAACGATGTCCTGGTTACGTGTGTGACAGCCAGGGCCGGCCCAGAGTATTTAGGGGCCCTCTGCAAAACTTAGATGGAGGCCCTTCATTTTTTTTTAATGTTATATTAATAAGTTGTTTGATAGCAAAACATTATCACAAGGATTCGAACCCAGCACAACGGATATAAGAAAAAAGAGCTAAACCGTTAGCACTAGAACCACATATAACGTTGTCTTTTGCATCTACTCTATTTTACATGCATCTGTATACATGTAATGAAAATTTGGGGGCCCTTCTGAATCGGGGGCCCTGTGCAGTGGCACCTGTTACACACCCTCAGAGCCGGCTCTGGTTACAACGCTGATGAAGATGCCGAGTCATTTTATCTTTTCATTCTAAATATTTTGTTTTTTTATCTAAAGTTGGTGATGGGGCTTAAGTTAATATGTGTTGCAGGTATAGGCTATATTCTCGATAAAGATTTTTCCTTCGTGAAGATTGCTGCAGATTATGCTCAGGTTAACAACTTTAAGTTACTATTTTGTGCGTGACAATTTCGTGTTTTGCTTAGCAATGGTTTGGAAGTACATCGCTGATATTATACGCTATATGCAGGAGGTTTTATATTTAAGACAGAAGCAGCGTACGGGGACACAGCTTGTAAACGATATAAGGAAACAAGCCGATGATGTACTGCAGCCTAACTCTCTTTCCTTGCTTTAGTTCCTTGTTCTTGTTTCTGTTAAGCAAATAAATTTGCTTCGTTCGATATTAGTTCAGGAAAATAGTAAAACCAAAATGTTTCTCAGTATTGGGCCTATTGGCACTAAGCGTTCTTATGCATGTAACTTTAGGCTAGAAGCTATACCATGTCGATGCCATACAGAGTTCAGAGAATAGAGGAGTTTGTGAAAGAGCTCGAATCAGGGGATCTGAAACTGCGAGTCCGGGTACTTGAGGTATGCAATCTTAACTTTAAGTACGCTTCTTTAGCTGTCCAAACTTCCATCCCGTTATGTATACAAACACAACTGCACAAGTTCAATTAACATGAGTAAAACTACATTTTGGCAGTCGGAAAGAGCTGCACGAAAAGCGACAATACTACAGATGGCGACGATGTATACAGTCTTGGGAGCTACCCTGGTGAACCTCGGGGTCACTTTGAGTAGTCAAGGCAGCCAAGCTTTCGCAAATGGATCATTCATCGGTGCAGGTAACTTGTTACTCAAGAAAACTTTGATATAAACACACCTACTGGTCCATTTCGTTGCGTTCATCAAAAAGCTTTTGACACTTTGCAGGAATCTTCTTCACGCTGTTAGCTAGGTCTATGCAGAGGGTGAAAAAAACTTGATAAATTCGAGAAGATGATCTAATGTCTAAACCGAAAATCTAGAAACCCGTCTTGCCATTGCAGTATAGCGTCCATCTCGTTTCTCGTTCATCCCTCTAATTCTTCACCAGCTTCATATCGGCCGGTTTTTTTATTTTTATTTTTTTATGCATACACAAGAGTTGTATGCCTTGTATACCATACACACAAACATGAAAATAATAGTGCCTCAGAAATTTGAGCCCTGTATATGTATAAGCAATTGGTGACTGTACAAAGCGGCGATAAATTTATTATAAATTTTCAATTTTTAATTTTTTAAAATTTTAGAAATATTAAATACAAGAACTTCTTTGTAGGGATTGCCATGCAATGTGTCGACGTTTAGTTGGCTAAGGTGTGTCATCCGTTGGATGCAGTAGGTTTAAGATGTTAGAACATCTTAAATATACTTAAGAAATAATCATGAAGATATTATTTAATTAATAATTTCTTCGAATTATCTCGTGAAATTCTTGCTTAATTACGTTATTGGAAAGCTTCAAATATAGGATTTGGTTATTAATCCTATTTTTAATACAACTTTTTTCCTAGACATGGGCATGAGACTTTGGAGAAGTCATAGTCCACAACTTAAGTCTTCTTGAAGGTTGAGTTGTATATGGAACAGATGTGGGCCTCGTCAATTGAATGAGGCATTATTTTTTAAATTATTTTTTACTCCACAATATTCTATAGTGGTTCAAATCAACAATCTAAAAAATATAACATATAAGAACACCATTATAATAACGCAACATATTACATTAATAATATGAGGAAAAATAAGATTTTTTATTTTTACTTTTAAAATTTTTTATCGACAATTCAAAAATTTCATGATGCAACACTCATTGCTTGTATAAGCATAAGAGAAAAAATACACATGCAAAATATATGACGATAATTTTAAAATGTCAATATCAACTTCGACAACGGTATTTTGAACTATTGGCAACGCTCCATAAGTAATAAGTTAGAGAAATGTATAGCATACAAGCGTAATGTGTGGAGTGGACCAAGTGGCATTTTTTTTTTTGGCTTAGAGCAGCCATATTTTCAACGACATAAATGTGAAAATTTAAAAAAAAATGAAAAGGCAGCACATCAGTGCTGGCTGAAGTAAAAGTTGCAGAAAAGGGACAAACGACATTTGAATTATTGGAGTCAACAAGGGTTTGCATAAACTATGCAATATAATTTAGTGGTTGGTGAACCTTTACCCAAACTTCCATCATCCCCCAAATTTTTTAATGTTTAGCATTTCATATTAGTGTGATGCTATTCACGTATATATTTTTATTTTTCTCACATTTCTCTTAAATTTCGGTTGTTGAAACAAATAAATTAAAGAAGATGAATTGCAAAAAATTATCAAAAGTGTGTGAATAGCATTATCCTTTCTAACAAAATGCACTACAACGATGAACTATTAGCTACCCAAATTTCATTAATTTTGCCCTAAATGTGTGCTGATTATTATTTATGCAAGTAGCAGATTGTTTTAGCTTATTTTTTTTTTATATAAAATTCATTGTGTGTCGAGTTTAAATTTTTTTTTATTTTATTATAATTTAAATAAAAAGTATTGTTTGTTTATATATATATATATATATATATATATATATATATATATGCAAAGATGATGATAGTAGTCAGATATGTACTCATTTGGTGATCGGTGGTTGACTTGACCATTCAAATTCCAAGGTATGTTTGGAAGGGTATTACTATTTAGATATTTATTTTTACTTCTCAATTTTCGGTTGTCGGATCGAATGAATTGAAGAAGATCAATGATAAAAATGTAATAATAATGTGTGGGAGATAAAAATAAATATATGAATAGCACTATCCATCTGCAAAGTCAGCAATCACGTTCATAATAAATCATTTCACAATTCAATATTTTGTCTCTTTTAATTATAACTAACTTGATCTCTCTTTTGTTCATAAATCATAGTCCAAATTCAATTACTTATTTCGGGGTGGACATCGTTGAACACTTGAACTCATCACTACCAAAATCAACTTCAACTCCATAATACTATTATTTCTAGTTTAGTCCAACTAAGTTAACAATGATTACCACCTAACTTAGCTTATTAAATGATTTTTTCATCACCACACTCAAGTTGGTAAAAGTTTAGCCGCTATATACATAATACATATAGATATAGTGATACCATATCATAGCCTCGCTTTCGGTCGACAACAAGCGAGGCTAGAACGGCTTATACACCTTGTCATAACATTGAAACGAGTAATTGGGATTTCATTGCATACTCCAAATTAATCAATGCCTTTTTGCTTGATTTTGACCATCACACAAACATACTATTTTCTTTAAATTAGGTATTATTCTTTTTAAGAAATGATTTTCATACGCCTATTTTTTTTTTCTTCTGCACTCTCTTGTTTATCTTCATCACCCAATCTTCCTTTATCTTATTTTTATTTAAAATAAAAACGAAGAAACATAAATGTGCAAAGAACGAAAAAACGTGTGCAAAAATAGCTTTTTATTCTTTAAACCAAAAAATGATGCAGGAGTTGTATCCATTACAAAATATAATATTCTCCTTTAGGATTATGTAAAATTTAATCTATGCATCGTTTTTACTGGAAAAGGATCCGACGAGGATTCTTTTCCTAGGAATTCTAGGGATCCATAATCATGATTGTTCATCGTATATTGTACAATCAATTTTAATTAGGTACTATTTATATTTAATTATAAATTAAAATTTTGAAATAATTTCTGATCACACGATATACGATGAACACTCACGATCATGTGATCCTTAGAATTCCCACGAAAAGGATTCGGCAAGGATCAACTAATTAAAAATTAAAGCTTAGGTTAGTGAGCCATCTTTCTTACCAATTAATTAAAAATTAAAACCATCTGGATTTGAGGTAGTTGGTGGAAATGGATCATTTCCTCCTAATCTACCAAATTAGAAAATTCGTGTCATTAAAATTTGATTTAACAACTACAAATAGAAGTCCATTTTAAAAGTTAAAATAATTTCAATCGTTTGATCAAATTTTAATAACACAAATTCACTAATTTGATGAATTATGAGGAAAGGGTTAGGAGAAGATCCCTTTCCGTCGTGGCAGCAAAATTTAGAGCGCTCCTTAGTTGACCATTTTGTATTTCCCCAACTCACAACAAACAAAATAATAGTAATAATAATTATAGTAGGTCTCACATATACGTTCTTTGTCAAACTTGGCTCCTTAAGCGCGCACACATCTAAATGGACCACATCCCCCCATAAACAATTCATTAAAAAGCATTACTTGTCAAGCATCTATTGTTTTTCGATACAAACAATATCAAGAGTGTACAACTTAAGAATGCTATTAACCGCTAGAACTATAAATCATTTGTATTAAGCACACTTCCTTAATTATATAACCGATGGACTATGGGTCGGTTTAGTTTTTTCTTTTACTAAATGGGTTGTCAAGACTCAAGATCACCGTATAATAATATTAACATTTCTCCAACATGATAACATTATTAGTTTTTTACAATTCTTTATACAAAGATAACATTAGCAGTTTTTAGTTCTTATTATGCGCTAACGCATGTGACAATTGATATTTTTTAAAAATCCATTCAATAATTTACTTAAAATATTTTCATAATTGTTTTAAAAATTCAAGAAATAAATCAGAGAGGCATTTTTGATAGCTACACATCAAGTAAAAGACAAAAAGGAAAACAAAATAATTAAAAAAAAAAAAAAGAAAACCAATGAAAAAATTTGAAAGCTTTGAGTTTTAACCAAAAAGACAAAAATATGTTGTAAGTAAATAGTATTAGGATTAACTTTTTAGAGTAAAAATGCCTCTAACGTTAAACGTGAATAGTAACAAGAGTGTTTCGTTAAGACTTCCGATAAAAAAATGATTGAAGTGGATCTTCGTTCGTAGGGGCATTTTGGTAATTCCACATCCAACTGTATGTGCTCGTGAGCTCTCTCTCCTACTATATAATAACGGCAGCCGTGCTTTTGCATTTGCAGCAAACCAGCACCAATTCAGAGACTTGGAAGTCAGTCTTCTTCTTCCTCCCACCAACTTCCCGAACCCAGAAGGTAACAATTCGCTCTCTCTCTGGTTCTCGATTTTCTCTCTGATCTCAGCACACCATTCACTCTATACATCCGTGCGATCGTTCTTAACGCTGCTTTGTTTTTCTTAGCATTTGCATCGTTGGATTGATTAGGATCTGTGATTTAGTCGATAGTTTTGAAGAACTGTGATGATATTTTGTGCATGCTTTGTTTGTTTGCTGATGATAGATCTAGCTCTGGTCGAAAAATCACGCACTTTCTGTTTGGTTCCAGAGGAAAAAAAGAACTGGGTGGCTGGTTCTTTCTATGATTTTTCAGAATGTTTCATACTAACACTATGTTTGGAGTAGGGAAATAAACTTAGAATTTGGACAAAAGTCAGAATTTATTAGTTGACATGCATGATCCATCAATTCTCTTGTTCGGATTCATGACATAAAAATTTAGAATTTCCGCGTGGAAAAAGAACGTGGAATTTGGGTCCTCAAATTGCCAAATTTCGTCATTTCTATTTCCGTTGTTTTGGAATTCTTTAATCTTAAATTTCCTCATCCAAACACAGTATGAGGGTTTTAAAAATCGCCAAAATTTCACTCGATATATTGGAGTTTTGAGCCCTCAACGTGCAAGGGGTTGAAGCTTATATCTTCACGCCGAAGTCAGCAATTACCGGTATAATATCAGAAATGTCGTCAAAATCGTCAATGTTATTGACGAAAATTAGTTAATTACCAAAAAGTTAACCTTGACAATGACGAACTATGCTACAGTTGCAGTACTTTTTTTTAATCTATAGCCAAAACGAGGGTTTTGGTTAGTTGGATAATGGTATAGAATGCCTTATGTAAATGAATTGTGTGTGTGTGTGTGTATATATATATTAATACCCTTGTTTCAATAGCCAAAACAAATTACTTATTTTAAGTGGTACATGGAACATTTCTCTTTTACTTTCTGGAATTACCGTATGATTGTTGGGGAATTTATGAGAACAATAATGATTATATAAGTTTATGTAAAAAGAAAGAAAGAAAATAACAAGCAAAGCCGTTTGTTTCTTTTCAGTTTTCCCTCTAAATTTTGAACATTTAATGGTTTATTTCGATCCTTCATTTTGTTATGCGTGTAATTCAACATGGAAGTCTGTCATGTATTCTATTTTGTTGCTCTTTTTGATTCACTAACTGAGTACCATGTAATTATTGCAGATTTCCATTTGCTTGTAACAATGGCTCCAGTTTCTGCAGAAGCATGTTCCAATTCAATCAACCCTAGAGGTTTTTGTTTACCCTGTTTTTTTCTTTCTAAATTTATAGGATTTTGTTAATTTCGTGGCGAAGGCACTGCAGTAGAATCTATGGTGGTTGCAACAATTAATCACTGTATTTGAAAATTAGATTTATTTGGAACACTTGTTTTCAAAGTTTCAAATTTTTTTCCATGTTTATTGATCATAATGCAGATGTTTACATCGTTGGTGTTGCAAGAACACCAATGGGTGCATTTCTTGGGGCACTTTCATCTGTACCAGCCACCAAGCTTGGGTCTATAGCTATTGAGGGTGAGCAATATCTCCTACTTCCTTAAGCAGATAATGTTTCGCGTTTTTTATCTTCTACTTTTTAATATTTAGCATCGTCTGATTTTTCATATTCTCTTCTGTGAACCTGCAGCTGCTCTTAAGAGGGCAAATGTTGATCCAGCACTTGTAGAAGAAGTTTTCTTCGGCAATGTTCTCAGTGCAAACTTGGGGCAGGCTCCTGCTAGACAAGCTGCATTAGGTGCAGGAATCCCTAATTCAGTGATCTGTACCACTGTTAACAAAGTCTGCGCATCAGGGTTGAAAGGTGCAGCACCTTCCGTTTTTCTACTTTGTTTTCTCTTTCAACAATGAATTTTCATTTTCGGTAGGAAAAATGATATTAGAATAACACAACTTTGATTTCGGTTATTGCAGCTACTATGCTGGCAGCACAAAGCATCCAGTTGGGCATCAATGATGTTGTTGTGGCTGGTGGCATGGAAAGCATGTCAAATGTGCCCAAGTATCTTGCCGAAGCAAGGTTAGTTACTTCTTCCGATTCACGACTCTTTTAGACTTTAAAATGGAACTTCAACAGGCACTGATTGGATGCAAAAATAAAAATGCAGGAAAGGATCTCGACTTGGACATGATTCTCTTGTTGATGGAATGCTGAAGGATGGTCTGTGGGATGTCTATAATGATTATGGCATGGGAGTGTGCGCTGAATTATGTGCTGATCAGCATTCAGTTACAAGGGAGGACCAGGTAAAATATAACCCCTTTGGTGCATTCTAATATAATAGCACATTCACCATCATACAAGAATATTCATATATTTATTTGTGACCAACTGCAGGATAACTTTGCTGTTCAGAGCTTCGAGCGTGGTATTGCTGCCCAAGGCTGTGACGCCTTTTCATGGGAAATTGTTCCGGTAGAAGTTTCTGGAGGAAGGGGAAGACCATCCACCATTGTTGATAAAGATGAAGGTTTAGGCAAGGTAATAATAAATCATGCTTGTATCAGTCAGACACCTTAGCAAATTTATGTTTTTCTTGCACAATTTAAAATCTCCATCGGTACACCCTGCTAACATGAATGCCAATTTTTAGAGTAGATAGTTTCAATGCTTCACGGTAGAGATATCACTTTTTTATCATTTGCAGTTTGTTTAGCCAGAATTCTAATTTGTATATAGAGGAAGAAGGGGTGGGGAAGTGCAGACTACAAAGTTTAATCTACGACTTTATTTTTGCGTTAAATCCGTCGTTGCTAATTGATCGTAAAAAATGTCTCATATTATAGGAGTCTAGGATATATCTGAATCACATTCTTTGAGTTCACCCATCTCAGATGTCCTTATTCTTTGCTTTGTTATGATGTCAGTTTGACGCTGCCAAATTGCGGAAGCTCAGACCAAGTTTTAAGGAGAGTGGAGGTTCTGTGACCGCCGGAAATGCTTCTAGCATCAGGTTATTAGTTTATATATTTCTGTATTTGTTATTTAATCCCCAATATATAATAATTTAATGTTTACATTCGTTTACTTAAATGAGCACAAAAGTCATTTCCTAAGTTGTCATTGGTTTGATTTTTAATTGATGGAACCACCTTCATTTCGGTTTCACACGTCTTACAATGAAAGTGTTTCTGAAATTTGAAATTCCTTTTATCAACAGTGATGGTGCTGCAGCATTAGTTTTAGCAAGTGGGGAGAAGGTATTAAAGCTTGGGCTACAAGTGATCGCCAAGATCAGTGGATACGCTGATGCTGCTCAGGTACTGTGGAAGTTTTGGTATATCTGAACAAGATTGTAGAGCCCCTGCAGATCTTGGAAGTTGAAAGTGCATTTTTGTTTTAATTACCTTTCATACCACTATGCTTACCTGAGATAAATTGCACAGGCACCAGAACTATTTACAACAGCTCCGGCTCTTGCAATTCCAAAAGCTATTTCAAATGCTGGCTTGGAAGCTTCTCAAATTGATTTCTATGAAATTAATGAAGCCTTTGCTGTAAGCTATCACAGTTTGTCGCAATCTTTTTAAATAGGGTAGCATCTCAAGGCTGCCAATATTAATTGGAGCGATTTCATGTGTGCAGGTTGTGGCTCTTGCAAATCAGAAACTTCTTGGACTTAACCCAGTGAGTTCTCTCTCTCTCTCTCTCTCCGATTGAATGCTTAAAATGAGTCGCATTTAACTTTTTGTTGATGAAGCAGTCTCAACTCCTTCCGTGAGGCTTTTACTAGCACAGGAATTCGCATTTGTTCTTATTGCCTTAACTCATTTTCCGTTCTCATTTCAGGAAAAAGTTAATGTGCATGGTGGAGCTGTAGCATTGGGACACCCTCTTGGTTGCAGTGGAGCTCGTATCTTGGTCACTCTTTTAGGGGTACATTTCACTTCCTATTCTTTTAAAAGAAAAGAGAATATTTAAACTTTAAGAACGAACAGGCTCTGATTTACTTTTGCTACTCTCCCGCACCTCTCCTTTCTGTTCTAGCTCACCTGGAATTATTTACTATCAAACGCTATCTTTTTCTTTCAAATCCTTTATTCAGAGTGCAACGCTATTGTAGGTACTGAAGCAGAAGAACGGGAAATACGGCGCTGCTGGTATTTGCAATGGCGGCGGAGGTGCATCTGCGCTTGTTTTGGAGCTTTTGTAAGCTAGTTTCAAGTCACTAACTGGTAATTTTGGCGCGTTTCATGTCATTTTAGCGAAACTTGATGGATATCTTCTAAATGTCAGTTAGCTTATCAGTTTACCTGACTCGTGTTTCTGTCCAGAATCGCTGAGGTCGAACCTTCTTCGTGTGAGAGATGAAACCGCCACTGGCAAAGTTCCCAGTTGTGCAATTTATTCTGCTTTCGTACTTGATTTGCTTCCCCAATAAATTACAAATGTATTTAGATTTTAGAAGAAGTATATTTCCAATACAGTTCGGTTTCGCCATCTCTCTCTCTCTCTCTCTCTCTCTCTCACACACACACACGCTGTACACGTTTTGGGTTGGATGCGTGGTACTGAGCAATAATGTGGAGCTAATGGCCGGTACTAAATTGTACAAGTAATTCATAGTTTATGATATGAGAGGATGATGAGTTTATACTTTATTGTCTAATAATGATAATCAATTTATGTGTTTTGTTATACGTGAATTGGTTATACAATTATACTACAGATAATTCCAAACTATAATATTATTGCATATAATAGTTACCTCCATTTCGTTGGAATAACTCTTTTAAGTTTATCTTGCTTAAATACAAAAACAATACATATTCGTAATGAGATTAATTCTTACTTTTGACGGACCATTGTTGTGACGTAGTTGATGAATGATTAAATCATGATAGTAGTCCCGTAAACATTTGGGTAAAATCTTTAAATTTTATTTTCACAACTGTTCAGACGTTTTACTGAGGGTATACACATTACACACGATACGAGAGGGAGTCAAATTTAACAACGTGGGGAAACAGACAAAAGCTGTATGGGATGCTTAGCTGGAAGCACCACACCTTCCAATCTAATTGGTTCTTCAAACAGTAGGCCCCTCTTCGTCCCATCCTGTTCAGAGATTTTTAGCGTGCAAGAATACACTTGAATTGGTTGGAAACTTAGGAAAAAAACTTCAACTGAAAATATTTTTAAAATTATTGAAAATGTTTTTAAAGAAATTGATTTTGAATTCTGAAAATATTTTAAATGTTTTTTTTTTTTAAAACATCAGATATGTGTTTCTTACAATAAATACATCAATAATTTTTCTATGATTCATTTGAATATTTACTTAAGATTTATTTAAGAACTATTTTTTCAAAAACACTTCTAGTTATTTGAATAACACTTAAAACGAGTTTTTTGTATCAAACCGTGATTCCCCCACACTAAAAAAAATTTGTTATCAAACTCGAGTAATGCTATTCATATCATATTTTTATATCATATTTAGCATCTGATATGGACAAACACATAAAATATTACTTAAGATGATATAAAAATATAGCACAAAAACATGTTATGAATAGCATTACTCGGACGCACCTCACACACACCAGTACACAAACCCACGCCGCGCCCTCTTCTCTCTTTCTCTCTCTCTCTCTCACTTCCTTCCATTGAACCTCACCTTGAAAAAGCAAAAGACTCGTCAATTCATCACCAACTCAAATCCCTTCAGTACTCGGACCACCTCAAATCCCTGCAACCAGAGAAAATCAGTCGCCGTTTTTTGTTGTTACTCTCACAAATCTCAGAGCAGAAAGTCATGGGGGTAAGCAGATTAGTCGACTTTTTTGTCCTCTAATTCATGAATTGAATTTGTATCGGTGTATGTATACGGTTCTGTGGTTGATCCAAGACTCTTGAGTTTATGTGGAGCGATTCCTTCCTTTTTTTCAGCATGCTGGTGTTGTTGGAATTTACCATATTTTCCCCCCTCCGATGCTTTCTGCTTCCTCTTCATCCTTTTGGTTTCGAACTTTTAAGCAGAAGCTTGTTCTGTATGAATATGATGTATCTAGCTGTTGTTTGCTATCTGGGGTCACGTTTGCTTTCTGGGTTTTTATATTTTTAATTATTTATTGATAAAGTTTGTATTTTTAGCTTCTTGTTTGGTTTATACCAACCCGACTTTGAGTATTTGAGAAACAAATTGGATGTTGTATGTGTTTGTGTATGTGTGTAGATTCGGCTTCCACCGATAAGCAGCGTATCTGATTGCTTCGTTGTGTGCAAAACTTTCTCTGTGTCTGTTGTGTTGAATGGTTAAGCGTTGCAGTTTAGTGGATTGATGGGTTACTCAATGGTTTGAAACATACAATGGGTTCTTACTTGAGGGTGAACCTAGATCAATGGGTAAGGTTGTTCTGTTGCTTCATGGATGTTGCAGGTCAATACGCGAAACAGGCGCTCCGCAAGTAGGGGTGATGCGGCGAGGCTGCGTATATCTAACCTCCTCAGACCACAGAATGGTCGGAGTTTGGTGCACTTGACTGTTCTGTACTTTACTTATTTGATTTTAGTGTAAACCTATCTGATAATTTGTTGGACTTTAGAAAAAAAAGAAAATTTCTTTGTGTTCCTTTTAGGCATGTATAAAGTTGATAGCAGATATCTTACAAGATTGTCGAATTTCAAACCTCTTCTTCTTTTTGGAATACCTTCGTATTGAAGAGTAATTACAGTCATTGGCGTTTGTAAACCAACGCATGAATACATATTACTTTCTATATCATGGTGTTGTATTCTTATGCATTAGGATTAAGGTTATAGTAGTATGATTAACTTTTTTTTTTTTTTTTTTTTTTTTTTGACTGATGTGTGGGAGTAAACCTTCACCTTAATCTTAATCATCTTTGTTACTTGGATTTTGTTTACCTTCATAATTTCATGCAAGCACATCCGAAGCATTGAACTTTGCACACAATTGTGTTATATATACATCTCAATTCGGTATGCATTGTCTTTAGATGATTGATTCCCTTCATCAAAATTATGTAAACTACAGGAAAAGGGTGTACCGTTGCCAAAATTTGGTGAATGGGATGTCAATGATCCAGCATCAGCTGAGGGATTCACTGTAATCTTCAACAAGGCTAGGAATGAGAAGAAGACAGGTGGTAGACCTGACTCACCATCAAAGGAGGACCGCACATATAAGCAAGGAGCAGTTCTCGGAAAGCCCCCATCTGTAAGTTGGACTCATTGACCTTATAGTTCTTGGAAAGCCTCCATCTGTAATCTTGTATGCTTGACGCTGTTTGTGTTTACATCGTCATATATTTCCCTAGAGCTTGAATGGTGGTTGATGTTGAGAACAGCGAAGATTTAATTGAACCATAATGAGCATTTTATGCATTATACATTGGAATCCTTACATCTTCATCATCACACTACATTTGCATATAATCCTTTAATTTCAGAATTAAATTGCTCAAACTCAAACTATTAACTACCCTTTTTTCCACCCAGGAAATAGCACCCATTGATTTTATAAACGTATCTGTTTCATATTTTATCATTTCGCTTGGTAAAGCACTCATCTGGTTTTGTTAAATGATGTCCAACTAAGCTGGCACCAAAAAAGAAAAAGAAAGGGAAAAAGAAAAGAATGCTGCCAGTTGGTCTTAAGCCACCCTAATGCGATGATGAAAAAGATGGTAGCTTGAAAAGTGATACAATGATTGGATTTTTTTACGCTTTTTTCTGCTTTGATGTGTAGAAAAAATGGTTTTGCTGCTTGTGTGCGGAGTCGTGAGGAGGCACCAACCATGTCATAAATTTTACAGAAGATACTACTACGTATTTATGCCCCCCACGACGATGTATATTCCAGAAGACTGGAGCTATGTTCAGAAGCCATGATTGGTCCCGCTGGAATCTGTTTGCTGTCTATTTGAACATTGGTAGAATTTTGGGAGACGAATGATTGAAAAATGATACTGTTTTACGTTTGTGCATACTGGTGAACTATGATTGCATGCAGCTTCCTTTTCTTGAATCAATGCTTGATGCTGAGTTAATCGTGACTGTTTGTTTCCTGTTCTCGGTTCAATTTGAGTTTCTATGTCTTGTAACCACGTATTTGTGCACTGTGAAGCTTTGTATTTTCTCTTAAGAAAGTCCTTTTCCCCTCGAAATCTCCCTCTGAGTTGGGAAGTTCCAAGCTTTTACGACTCCATTCATTTGCAATTTTGAACGAAAATTGCTCCTCTCAGCAGTTCGGTGATCGATTTGGTTGTAGATGAATTCAAGATCTGTAGAATTTCCAATGGATGCACCACAAAACCATTGTGGAAGCCTCTACGGACTGATGCAACAGAACCGAATCTTACAGCTCCCTCTAAAAAAGCACCAAGGGCCTGTTTTTGGTGCTTCTAGAACGGCTAAAAGAGTGTTTTGACAACTAAAGCACTTTTGATAATGTTTGACACAAAACATAAAAAGATCTTTCTGAGAAGCAACTTCTTCAAGAAGCACTTCCAATTAGGTTTTAATAATTATTCCGGCGTGATGATTCTAATGCGAATCCCCAATAGCACACTGTTTCGATCTACACTGATTTTCAAGATCCGAGCTATCAATTATTCGGGCATCTCTCCAGAAGATGATTTTTTTTTTTTTTTTTATCCAATACTTTAGTTTGCACCCAATAGAACACGGACATGAGTCAATACCATTACTAAATGTGTTTCTAGCAAAATCGCATTTAAGCAGAAGTGTTTCCTACAAAAGCAATCCCAGACGGGCTCAAACTAACAGACGAAAAACTGCTTCAAGTACTAACAGCAAAGTGTCTTTACTAACTCCAATCAAACATGTCAGCTAAATCTACCATTATGCAAGGCAACTCAAATTGTCCAACAATAAGCAAAAATACACATCTTCAAAATATTAAAGCTGAAGCCAATGGTACATTTTCTGTTTTGTAACATTTCAGTATATAAATATTCTTTCCATTTTCTAACATTACAACCAGTAAATACCCGAAAACAAGTACGCAACTGACTAATCTAAACTCTAGAAGATCCAAGCTTGCGTTCAAACAAACGTTTCAGAAGAAAAACTTGGAGGCAGCTAGCTCCAATAAGCGCTGCCGATTCTATCAATGCCTTGTGCGTTGCTCTGCGGCTCATTCCTTCATTCACTGCACGAAAATCAAAGATTAGGGGGCCTTAGCTTCGTGTGCCCGTGTGTGACATGCAGACGCAAGTGCAAAATCATGTACTTCTTGAAGTACTATAGTTTATGCAACCTGTTCAGGATAAGAGATTAAAACTTGACAGAATAATAAATACCTATTGCTTGGCGGTCAGTCTCAGCTTCTAACCAATGTTGTTCGAATTGGATGTTATAGAGGGCTTCCTCCAACTTTTGAATCTGCTCCAGCAAGGGCGTGAAATGCTCTGCATACATTCAAATAACAATCCGTGACCATTATTCCAATATAAAGAAGACTCACCTAGAAGAAAAAAAAGGTGGCGGAACTTGAATAACAGGTAAAGTGGCCTCTCACCGTCTTTAGCATGCTGGTCATAGTATGTGAAGTGAGCAGCATGTACATCAAAGTCAACAGTTTCGTGGTAAGGAGACTTGTTCGTGAAGCAGAACTGGTGAACACCTTGCTTCTGAACCACAAACTCATACTTCTCGCTTGTCTTGCCGCGTATGTCATGAATTTGTTCACCACCAGGTCCCTTTATCTGACATCGGCAACATAGTTCAAAAGTATAAGAAAGATTTTAGAAACAGGAACCACTATCCTCATTATCGAACAAAAAGCAATGTCCTAATCGAAAAACCAATTGGGGGATGATCTTAAATTCCTAAACTAGCAATTGTGACTCAAAGTACCAAGTTACCAACAATAACAACATAATATTCCCTCTCCCGCTTTATTCATCTCTTCCTTTCTATTACAATCGATATCAGGGGAGTAGAACCGAACGGAGGACATCAATGCAGGCTAAACCATAAACGATCTCAACCGAATGAGCTACAAGCCCCGCTCTATCTCCCGGTTTACAAGGGCAACAGATAATTCTACCCTCTTAACGAATGCAATCATAAACAGAAATCCACAATCTTTATCTTCTATCAAAATTCAACTTGCCAAGGCAGAAAAAAGTAACACAAATCAGCAGAAACCATCGAACTTTCTCCACAACAAGATCAAACAGATGAAATTATGACAAATCACACAATTGGGAAAAACAAACAAATATGAAACATCATAGTATCATTCATTCATACCACGAGATCAACGCCGTCTTCGGTGTAATGCCAAGTCGAATCCACCTTGATTACCACAAAAGAGACATGGATGGTGTCTCCCATGTACTTTGCATCATGGGAGAAGCACTCTTCCCTGTCAATCACGAACCTTAACCCTAACGACCCTTCCAACTGGCACAAAACCAGAAAACCCACCAGCACCAAACTCAGCGCCACGTGTCCCCCGCACCAGAACTCCATCTTCTTCCCTGCAAACCCATCAATTTTTCAGCACACAAAGTCAAACAATCACCGAGTTTTTTTAGCCACAAATAATCGTTACCCAGATAGATATTTAGAGATGCAAAAACACACAGATCGAGAAGAACACGAAAAATTACCTCGGAAACTGCTTCTGGTTTTCGTATTTGGCAGAGGTTTCAAGTTTGGGATTATCGGATGAACTGGGATTTGCAAAGTGCCGAAGTCGAACTTAGGCTGTCGGACAACGGCAGTTCTGGTTGGACCAGCATAAAAGGACAATCAACGATGTCGTTTTGTTTTTAGTTTATGGGCTTAAGCCAGCGTGGCCAGGGTGTGATTCAATAGCTTGACCAGTTGCCAATGGGAACGCTCCACGTTGGATGATGCTTTCCAGGTGGAAATAAGCGAATTTCGCTTGCGTGTTCCGTGATATCAAAAACCCCCAAAAATCTTTTTTTTTTTATTTTTTTTTATATTTTCGTAGTATAAATTTAGTGATGGACAAAAGAGGAAGACTGGCCAGAGAGAAGCGAAGGGCTTGACGAAGATGTTTGTGAATTTCTATTTTTATTTATAGTAACATGGAGAGAGAAATTTGTTATTCAAGTAATACAAGTTGTACATGAAAAGATAATCTAAATCTCTTACGATTACTATACATAATCTTTAAGATTTAAACAATCATATTTCTAATTAAACTAGAACTGCAAAATTTATTTATTTCATTTTATTATGAATTTTATTTATTTGTTGGTAAGTTAGAGTGTTATGCTTGTCGCCCTTTTTTTCTTTTTACTTCACATTTTCCTTTTTAAATCATTTTTTTTGAGTGAATCTTTTTAAATAATTAAAACATAAAAATTGTAGGTAAGAACAATCGTAACTTTTTAACACGGTAGTACACTTTTAGTATGGCGTACCAACCCGTGTTCTAAGCACATTAAAAAATCTCTACGGATACCCGAAGCAAAAGCATCACATTGAAAACTGAATTTAGTTTCCCTAATCAAATTCAAATGTTAAGTACATCCATGTACCTTCGATGATTCAGCACAGATATCTAAACGGGGAGTTCAGAGGTGCCTCATTTGATTCCCACATTTACATTTGTGTGCGGTCTTCGTTAGCACCTACGTGCAACGTAGCCAAAAGCATTCACACGGAACTAAGCTTTAAAGTTCGTCATCTCTACAGCGGATCAGATGGCTGCAAAATCCTTCCCTCTTCAATAACTAACCTCTGGTGAAGCATACATTGATGCTTTGCAAATTGCTTAAACAAATCATTTAGCTGCTTGGCTTGCTCGTACTCTTTCGTCCCAGAAACGACAACCTTCAATTCGTTGCAAGTTCCGGTTCTGCTCTGTGCTACTCTCTGCAGAGTCAATAAGAATGGTGCTTTTAGAGGAAACTCGGTGCTTTTATACTCTAGTTGTTTTGTATTCTATCGGGTTTTGGCATGCTAAATTACTAAATTTGAACAAACACCATTTTAAGACAAGTTTGCGCGATTTATAATTATTGGAAATAGACATTTACACTATATGCCTTCCTCCCGAGGAAACGATGATGTGATCTGGATTCTCCAAAAACGCCAATAATTTGTCAAAGTTCCGTTTGCTGTGCAACAGAACAGCTCCTCGTGCATACATCTCTAACAACTTACTTGGCGAAACAAATGCTTGACATGAGATTTGAAGTTGTTGATGGATAAACTCCATAATTGTTGATGGCGATAACTCCTTCTCAAGATTGTCTATGACGATCATATGGGGCGCCCCTCCGACATCTACGTCATGTTCTCTTCGTTCAGACTCTACATACAAGATAAAGTAACCAACTGGTTTGAATTGTTTAAACATAGTCCACCAATATATGGAGAATATCCACAGCGATCAACTACTTCGACGTCAAATTTCACCGCAGAGCTTTATTTAATCACCCATTCAAACTAAAAAGGTCATAAGTTTAGGTTTACATTTATCACTGCCTTTGAAGAGTAGTTAAAGATTAAGAAAAGAACTTAAGTAAATCAGTACAAACCTTTGACATGATCCGAGGACAACCCAGAAGGCCTTGTTTACTGCAAATGAACGAACGAGCATATGAAAAAAACCCACATGAATCATCCAAACAATATACCACGAGTATCTAGTACACATGTAAAAGACAAGAGGAGCCATATACAAAGTTACTGTCAGGTAGCAAAAGCAAGGGCGGAGCTAGGAAAATTTATAGGCATGTGCTATGTTTTCTTCTTGTTCAAGATAGCCTGATTTTGCCCAAAAAAAGGGCTGACTGGCATTGAAATAGACAACTTCTGCATATAAAATTACATGCAGTTTTCTAAAAATCTGAAATTGGCCCTAGGCTGCAGCCACTCAAGGCTCCAGCCATAGTGCGGCTCCACCCTTGTACAAAAGCGTAAGATTTTCGACAAAGTTGTCGTCATCCATGGACAAGGGGATCGAAAATCCCACTACAAAACAAAGAATTGAAGAACTTCCCAAACTCTCAACCTCCCAAATCAACTCTCTTTCAATTCACTCTTGTTCAACTTACAATCTTACAATCATGCAGACTATCGGAAACTCTCCCGCGCAAATTCTCGTTTCCTCTTGCATTAATCTTGCACACTATTAAATACAACCTCACCGTCTTCATATAGAATTATGGAAAAATTACAGATAGAGTATCACATCCCAATCTGATTTCTTTATTTGTATTTCACCAGTTTCATATTGCCTTTACGAGCTCAGCAAATGGTGAGGCATATACAAACTTCAATACTTCGGAATTTTTCTGAAACTTTGTCTTGAGTTCTTCAATTTTTTCTCCAAAAGCTATCAAATTCATTTTCATCCGAGCATAGTTTTCATCAGACGCCCGACGCTTCTCACTTTTTGTTCGTCTTTCACGTTTTTTAGTAGGAGCAGCAGTTGGAGATGTTTTCTGTTTTGCTGTGTAACATTTCTCTCTCGGCGACATCTTCATAAAAATGGAACAATAATTAGCGACCTTGAATCAATGAAACTGGAATTGCATCAATGAATTAAAGAATTTAAATTGAGAATTTAAATAAATAATATGAAACTAATCATGAAGTAACTACTAAAATTGATCTCGAAAAAAATGTGAAAGAGATTTTGCAAAAAGTAGACTCCGATCAGTTTGCACAAGATATATGCAGAATTAGTTTCAACTCAAAACTTCAAAAAACAATAGAAGAAGCTAAAAGTTGGTAAGAGATCGAACTGTGACTGAACTTAAACAACTAACTCAAACAGAAATTAGATCAAACTTATTCTAACAAAAATCATATGCAGTATGCGCAGCACAATTCCAATTCAAAAGCTAAACATCATCATACATAAGTAATCTGAAACTTGCCTGATTTCGACGTTGAGGAAAGCCAGGGGGAGCGTTGCGGCCGTTGCTGGCAGCAGCAGCTTCCACAGAACTCTCGTCGTCCATGCAGGACCTGAACTCCATCGCCACCACCTTTCTATAAAAATCGGCTTTCTAAAATTCACTTGAATAACTGATGAGTGTTCTCGTTGTTAATATATAGAGTTACTTTACAACGTAAATTACACCATAATTCTTAAGGGTTGATTTTGGAATTGCGATGTTTTTAAAAAAAAAAACAGCTTATTAAAAAATATAAAGAATTGCTTTTTAGTACTACGATTTATTAATATTTATCTTTATTTATAAATTAAAAATTTTAGATTTTATTTTTGTTAAAGATAAATTTACATTAAATTATTACTAACTTATTGGGAGATTAAGCCTCCTCAGTTTGCAGCTTGTCCTTCCCAATAACCCATTTCCCATGTCTCTCTCTTTTATCTCTCACCCTCATCATTACAATTACACACACAGATTCCAGATACGTCAACTCTCTCTCTGATCGATTCCATACTCTTTTCAGCTCAATTAATACCAAATTTTCCAGTTTCTATTTTAGGATTTTAAAATTCTTCAATTATGTACTTTTATATATTATACGATGATAAATTATTAAAATTAAATATAAATAATATTTAATAAAAATTAATCACATAACATAATAATATACAATAAATAAATATAATTAAAAGAACATTGATCTTCACAAAAGAAAATCTAGAAAGATCTTCTTCCCCAAATTTGCTCTATGTTATGTGTATCCCTTTGATCGATGTCATCGTGGCCGTCACTTCAGGAATTAATTGCAGTTGGGATGGGACCCTACGAATCTCACCTCTGATCTTTTATTTGAAGAAGGAATTTTGTAACCTTGGATTTCGACTCCCTAGTGTTGTTTTATCAAAAAAATTGTCTAGTGTTGTTTTAGCTGCAAAGAACTAAGCTTTTCTATTTAATTTCGACTCCCTCGATTGCAACATACGAGAATTTTGCTATGTACTACAGCTACTGAAATTGTTTTGTGCACAAAAGAATCTCTTTCCAATTACGTTGATGACCCAATAAGTAAATACATATTATATATATTGTATGTATATTAAATATATACGATATGCGCATAATATGCTCGCGGATTTGAGTTCAATCCAAAAACTCAAAGCTCACAACTTTCTTCGAAATCAGAAAAGTCGCAATGAGTTGTGAGTTTTTGTAATATATATGTGAGTATTTTTGTCATTTCGCTTTTATACATGGTGTGCATGATTATAACAACTGGTTTGTCCTATTTAAGTCTAAAAATTAAGAAAATTCGTCATTTCTGACAATTTCCCTAAATTCTATAGTGCTTCTATACTCCGATCATTTTAACTATTAGATCTTTGATTTTTTTTTTAATTTATTTTAACAAAAAATCTGATAGGTGAAATTTGTCTCAAGATGGGTATAACCATGGGAATGAGGATTCCAAAGATCCTCAAATCGTGTATGTTCACCGTCCTTCGTGGGATCAGAAATTATTTTAAATACTTTTATTTTAAATTAAATATGAATAGTACCTAACAAAAACTAACCGATATACGATGAATGAATACAATTGAGAATTCCCGAATCCGAGGATCCTCCTGGTGACCATGGATATATGTATGCAATACCGTCTAATCGTATCAACATTTCACAACTATTATTCGAAATTCGGAACCGATGCTCCAAGCAGAACAGAAACGTTGAAAACTGACGGGCAAAATTTAGACATATGCACATTCATTTCTTACTAATCAAAATGTTAGGTACATCCTATGTATCCTAACTCTCAGCCCCATTGAAGGGCTGCATTTTCTTACATTTGCTTGTCAAAAGATGGGGTCAAAACTCAAAAAAGTCGCAACTCTCAGTCCACTGTGTAGGCAAAACCTCAAGGGTAACTTGACAACAGTTGGTATGTGTACAACACAACAAAATCTTGCTAAAAAACCTAGCCTTCGAACGCATTCACCTCGGTTTAGTCTTCTCCGCTGCGTTAAATAGCTGCCAGATCTTTCCCTCTTCGACAAGTAACTTCTGGTGAAGCCGGCGTTGCTGATTAGAATACTCACAAAATAAATCTTGCAGAAGCTTGCCTCTCATGTATTCTTCAGTTCCAGAACTGACCACTTTCAATTCGTTGCAAGTATTTGTTCTTCTACGCTCTAGTAGTTTCTGCAAAAAATTTCAGTAAGAATAGTACTTTTCAGTCGAAAATGGATGCGTTATACCAGCCGTTTCAGATTCTTTTTAGTTTTGTATGCTTCTCAACTCTTTATTGGGGACGGTGTGTTATAAAGAGAGACTGTTACGAAAATTATGTAGTTATCAATTTATTGTCTGTTTTCATGCAGATCCAAGAATAACTTCCATCGATTAGTCAAATACTCCATACAAGCAAAAGAAAAAATATTGGAACTAACCTGCGATATAAGCATGGAGTTTACGATTGAACCCCTTAGTCTGTCATGTGCTCGTCTTTTCTCAGTCATGACCCAAGGCCTGCACAGAATTAAAAAATGGCACATGCCTTAGCAAGTCAATTGAGCAAAAACCATATTAACGTTGTGAGGTTTACACGACCACTGGACTGCAAAACCTAGCTATTAAGAAATAGATCAACAACGTATGTGAAGAGCGATATTGGAGGCTTGAAACAAAGATCTCCACCAAACCAAGAGTCTGTATTTTGGACACTCGCTTAGACCCCGAAATATAAATTGTTAGCAAATGGAATTCAAGCTAACCTATCTAATCACGAAAAAAAATTTATTCACACTAGATACCTTCCGCGTGAAGAAATAATGATGTGATCGGGACTCTCCAAAAAGTCGGATAACTTGTCAAAACTCTTTCTGCTATCCAGCAGGATGATTCCTCGTGTATACCACTCAGATGACAGACTTGGCGAAACAAATGCTTGACATGAGATTGAAAGTTGTTGATGTATAAATTCCACGATCTTTAATGGTGATAACCCCTTCTCCAGATTCTCAATGGTCATTACATAGGGAACCTCTTCTACATCCATGTCGTGCCCAGCCCCCTGAGAAGGATTGACAATCCCATCTGCCTTGGGAAAACGGAAAAAGAATAAGAAACTAATGAGTACGGGAAAATCTCTAAGCGAATCAGTACAAACCTTTCAGAGACGAGATGAGACTTAAGGGTCGCCTTGAAGTTCTTTTGTCCTACAAGTAAATAAATCCAAATAACAAGTAAGCACAAGAGAAAGCGAGTGATTGCAGAATTAGTTTGTCCACATGGACCAGACAGAAGGTTAAAAATCATTGCAAACTTGGTAATTACAAGGATTTCTAACAACTCTCAGCCGTACACAATGTCTATCTCACCACCAGAGAAGCATACATTTTTACTCTCAAACTTGCACCACTCCACTCTCATTTATTAGAAAACGACAATGGAATCTAAAAACAATCAGTGGAGAAGGCCAGAATAATATATGCTGCAATATTCACCAAACATGATACATTCTTAACACACCCTCATGCGTAGAATGACATGAGCCAAACATGCACACATGACACAACTTTACCTTACATGCGCCATGAATTAAACCAAACATGCAGACAATCAATACTAAGTGACATGATAGCTCAAGTGGTTATATCCAGCTCAAATCCAAATTGGCAATGAATAAGGTGAGAGACTATATATATTATAAGGCTGACTAATTGATTTGCCCCTGAAACTGCCATCTAGTCTCACTTTACACCATGAAACTAGTTTTGTTTCATTTTGCCCCATGAAGCTGCCATTTTCATCTCAGTTGAACCCATATTCGTCCATTATGTCAAACAAACGTTAAATTAAAAGGGGTAGTATAGACATTTTATTTTTGACATAACTCTTTGCCTCCAATCTGCCTGCTATAAAATCCCAATCCCAATTCCATTTTCAGTAACTCTAATTCAAACCCCGTCTGTCTCTCTTGCTTATTGATGAGGAGCTGTAGTTGCAACCGTTTGATTCAATAAGTGGCTTAAATTAGATTGTGAAACATAACCCATTATTTTCTTTTGCCAACAGTTGCAGCTACAACTCCACACCAATTCACAAGAGAGAGATTTAGGTTTAAATTAAAAATATTGAAAATGAAATTGGAAGTTGGAGGCAAAGAGTTGTGTCAAAACCAAAATGTCCATACTAACCCTTAATTTAAGGTCTATTTGATGGAATGGACAAAAATGGGGTGAATTGAGACTAAATTAGATGAAAACGGCAGTTTCATGGGTCAAAGTGAGACAAAACCAGTTTCAAGGGGTAAGGTGATACTAAACGGCAGTTCCAGGATAACACAACAATATTCTTATAATCTTGTACATATATTAAAAGTAACCCTTTATATAACGTTAAGAAATCTCTAATAGGAAGAGTAAGACAAAAAAAATTTCCAAATATGAATGGTGTTAAATGCACAAAACTCTACATAAGAAATTCAACCCAAATAGGAAAACATATGCACTAAATAAACTTGCCTTGTTTATACTTAGAGAAAGGCTTAACTTGTGCCTATAGTTGGGCGTACAAGTTTTTGCGTCATAAGCAACATCACGAGGAATTGTAGAAATATTAGAAAGAGTGGTTTCAATTTTCTCCCTGGCTGTTTTTAGAAAAGAGTTCAAAAGCGGATGCATTTTGTTTGTACGAGGCTGGACTCTGCAAATGGTATCGAGAGATTGTGCGGTTAAAGACCCTGCTTTTGGACCGTGTCTCCAAAAGAGGATGAAGCTGCATGAACATTCTTCCTCTCCTTTTACAAACCGATGTTCCTCATGCACCACCTAATGATACAAAATCACAATCAATAGACAATCTATCATCGGGAAATTTAGAATACTTTATGGTGCTTTTTAGAGAAGGGCCAATAATGCTTCCTTATGAAGCCAAGAAGGTTGTTTGACTATTTTTGTATGAAGCACTTATGCTCTTAAGCTTTTGCTAGATGTACTTTTATTAGGGGCTCGTTTGGAAGTTCTTTTAAATGACTAAAGCGCTTTTAGACAAAATGTTGTTGGGTTCCCAAAGCAGTTGAAGTGCTTTCTGCAAGAACCACAAGATTTTTACTAAAAATTGTTTTCAAAAACATTTTAACTAAAAGCAATTTCAATCATTTTAAAAGTGCTTCCAAACGAGCTCTAAAACACGTTGAAATTTGTATTACCATTCAACTCCTTCCTATAAAAGTAGTTGGAAGTGCTTGTTCCCCAAAAAGCGCTTCTATACCCCCACACTATTAAAGTTTCTTTGGGACTACTTAAGAGGGCTAAAAAAGCTATGTGACAACCAAAAACAGTTATAACTACATTTAGGCCTTCCACAGTAGTTTGAGGTAAAGTAGGAGTACCGAAATTGAAGGAAAGATGAGAGAAAATCGGTTACGGTGGTTTGAACATGTGAAACGAAAGCCTACTAATGCTCCAGTTAGAAGATGCGATTACGGGACAAAGGTTTAGGGCCGAAGAGGTAGAGGAAGACCTAGGAAGACTTTGAAAGACTCTAAGAAAAGACTTAGAGTATTTGGATCTAACAGAAGACGTAAACCAAACGCAATGGCGTACTAGGATTCATATAGCCGACCCCACTTAGTGGGAAAAGGCTTTGTTGTTGTTATTGTTGTACAGTAATTTGAGCGAGTGTAATACCTATATATATGAATTAAGTAACTTGAGTTTGATATCTATAATACTACTGCTACTATTACGCATTCAATATGTTAGTATCATAATAAAGAGTTTAATATATTGAACTAATAAGTGTAATATATTAAACTCATGAGTTTAATATATTGGTATCACACTCAAATTTTGGCCCACGAGTGTGATTCGTATATGAGTTTAATATATTGGTATCATACTCAAATTTCATCCCACGAGTGTGATTCCTCTATAACAACAACAAAGCCTTTTCCCATTAAGTGGGGTCGGCTATATGAATCCTAGAACGCCATTGCGCTCGGTTCTGTGTCATGTCCTCCATTAGATCCAAGTACTCCAAGTCTTTTCTTAGAGTCTCTTCCAAAGTCTTCATAGGTCTTCCTCTACCCCTTCGGCCCTAGACCTCTATCCCGTAGTCACATCTTCTAACCGGAGCGTCAGTAGGCCTTCGTTGCACATGTCCAAACCGCCATAACCGATTTTCTCTCATCTTTCCTTCAATTTCGGCTACTCCTACTTTACCTCGGATATCCTCATTCCTAATCTTATCCTTTCTCGTGTACCCACACATCCAATGAAAGCGGTCGCTCTATGGTTGAGGTCTCCATCTAATTCTCCGTTCTTTTGCAAGATAGATCCTAGGTAGCAAAAGCGGTCACTCTTTGGTACTTCCTAATCTCCGATCCTCACCCTAACTCATTTGAGCCTCCATTTGCACTGAACTTGCACTCCATATATTCTGTCTTTGATCGACTTATGCGAAGACCTTTAGATTCCAACACTTCTCTCCAAAGGTTAAGCTTCGCATTTACCCCTTCCTGAGTTTCATCTATCAACACTATGAGTTAAATATATTGGTATCAAACTCCCTTTTTCCGACCTAAACTTCTATAGTAAAAGCACTTCCAACTAATGTTTTTCTTAATAGAAGTGTTTCGTACAAAGTCAATGCCAAACATGCCCCTGGGTCAAACAACTAACGTTGTTTGTTACACCCATTAAGTGAAGCTCCAGGATCTAATTATACCAATGGTTTCCCATGGTGGACCATTATCCATCGCCGTTGATACCATTGAACTTAGACAAATTGATCTACAAACTCAATCCATCGTCAAGACCATTCAACTTCACTACTCGCAAGCGTCATAGCACCCAGAAGCCAAACTCACGCTGTTATCCATTACCGTGGCTCACCATTCTTCAAGTTAGCTTATCTACCAATCTAATGCCCACCTTAAAACCGATCTATATGCAAAATTATTGAACCAATTTTGGTGCCACAAAATCGCGGATCGCCAAAACAAGAAGTTGGTTTCGATGTTGGCGCTAATAACTTTGGGAAAAGTGACTGTTGAGGTTGTAGTGTTTTGCGAGGTGTATTGTTGGAATTCATAAACCCAATTGCTCAAAGCACTTTTGTTACCTCTAAGCGCATTAACTTTCTATGCTAGACACTCAAGCTCTTTATTTGGATGGAAGGTGTCATTTACAAATCCTTATTACATGTCTTTTGTAATACTTCCTATTAACCTTTTTGTGATGCGTCCCTCTTACATTCCTGTGTTGTGCTCATATGCTGCTTTTCTAATCCCTCGATAACATTTTTTTTTTATTCATTTCTTACTCACTTGGCCTCAATCCCTAGGAACTTTAACTCCATCATCCAAACATAGCCCAAAGGATTGTACACGACATTATATGATAAAATTGCCTGCCTAGAATATTAAAAGGAAACGAAGAAAACAAACAAACTTCAAACAACTCTTAGCATATATAATTTCAAACATACTTTTTTGTTTCTTACTCAAATTTATCTTTTTTGTTATTACACGAAACAAATCTAACCTTACAATATAAACTAAATCTTAGACTTAGGACTCTCCATCCAAATGGAGTCTTCTCTTCGCTTTTGTTTTCAGTAAATTAGAAATTGCACTCCACCAACTCTAAACCTTACCCTAAATCTTACACAAACACACTTTAACAGCTCAATTGGAGGGAAAACAATGAGTGGCTATCCACTCTTGATGCTCTAACTGTGTCTTAGTGAAATCCCTTCCCCATAATTATCACAATTTCATAAATATGAAATTAATGGTTATACACCAATATTGTCCTCAACTTAACCAACAATATCCCAAGAAGTGGGATTTCATCCTAAAAGACATCAGTGTAATTAGGAAATGAACAATTTGCACATAAATCGTAATTTGTTTTATCGGATCTCAGATGTGGGATTTCCCAACACAACCCCTCATGTGGTACCATATCTTTAGTGGGGCCAAACTGTCTAAGGCCTTGTTTGGTATCTACATAAGAATTTTTTTAGGGGTCCACACACCCTATTTTACTTCTCACACCCCTTGATAATTTCTATCTGTTGATCTTCTTCAATTCATCCAATCCGACGGTCGAAAATTAAAAAGACGTGTGAGAAGTAAAATGGGGTGTGTAGATATCACACCCCTTATTTTATTGTTAAAATTTACGGCCTCGTTGTCGTTGGGTGTCTATGACTACAATGAATAGAATAGCTCATTAGATTCAATGTACATTGAATCAGATAACTTGAAAGATTCAATGTATGTTGAATTAGATAACTAACTAACAATTTACATTAAATGTACATACGAAAAAATAGGTTTCCTTTACGAATAATCTATATTAGGACAAAATTTCAAAATTGGTATCCCTTTCTTTATTCAAGGTACATTGATTTTATGAATCATCCAATCTTATTTAATCCGACAACAACGGAGGCCTATGCATATAGATGAACAGTTTTGTAAATTTTAACTTTTTCATATTTTGGGATTACTAAGGCCACCAATGCGTGTAAACAACGTCTTTACAAAACAAGAGTAAGACGTATAATAGACATTGCCCCGACCTTCGTAAAGCGAAAAGCCTTATTAACTTGGGATCGCCCTTAGTAAATGCCTAAATGGTCATTTCATTTTCTAACATATGTCAACACAAGTAATTTCCTCTTCAACTAAGGTCAATAAAACAATTTTCCTCTCCCAATTAAGGTCAATAGTAATTACTGATTTCTCTTCAATGACCAAAATTTAAGCATTTCCATCATTGAAAATATTTTGCGACTTTAAACAAATTACTAAAGAATATGGCACCAAACAAATTTCCCACTAAAGAAATGGCGAGAAATAGTGAGGGGAAAGCGAGAGACAAAGAAAACTGACCTTTTTGACAACGGCGTCGTAGAAGCGGCGATCACCGCGGCGAATGGAGTGAGAGGCACAGACGAGCATGCCCTTCACCACCTGAGAGCAATCCGTGTCCTGTACTTGTACGGACAACGGCCTGAACCTCCGGCTGAACTCGTCGATGTCGTTGAACGAACTCAACTCGCTCACTTCATAAAGCTCGTCATGGTCGTCGCCGAAGCCGACGAACTTCACTCTCAGTCGATCACAGCCGTCGTTCGCTATCAGGACGTCGTACCAGGCGTCGTCCAAGCCAGACCTGAACTCCACCGCCATCCCAACTCCACCCACCGCCGTACACCTCCAAATTTTAAACGATTTGTAATCTAGTTCCCAATGATTATCGTTTCCCATCCTTCATGATTATCTTGATTGAAATGCCACTCCACCAACTTTGTAAGGAGTTTTTGGAAAATTAACTGTGTAAGGAGATCTAGATTCAAGAGAATGCAAAAAGACGAAAAAGGAGTCCTATTTTTTAATGTGATACATGCATCTTAATGAGTCGTGTCTTATAATACCTGTTAAAATAAACGGATAATATTGCACGACCCGTTATTAATGAGTAATATGACCTATTAAAGAGAATATATTTTACTTCTACAAATAATCAAATAAAAAACGTAATACTAAATTACTATATACGTACTACGTTGTCACATTAATATTACTTTAAAACATAAAAGCATATTTTTTTTTTTCAAGTATTACATATCCCAAAATACGAAAAACATTAATACATTACTACAAAATATCAAATGTTCAAGAATATGTAAAATATAGAGAAATTAAATCCTATGGTATTGTTGCAGTAAGTTTCTTTTCATTAATGTAAAAGTGTGAAAAATAAAAATATACGAACGCTAGTAATGACATTGGAACATGATATCAACAATCCGAATAGTTCATTTTTCTGCCTACGCTAAAATATCATGTTTTTAAAAAAAAAAAATTTGAAAAACATAATCAACTATTAAATATAAATCTAGGGTTTACGGATTATAGTGTTGAATTTTGGAGTTGACCCTTTTACGAAAGTTGTAAAACTTGTCATTACGAGCGATTGTATTTTTTTTTTTTTTACAATTTTTCACACTTCTACATTAATTATTATGAATTTTTATTAATTTTGCACTTAACACAAAAACACTATTCATGAGGGTTTGGAGAGTATAAACAACGATGTAACCATCGCCTAAACGTAAATAATACAATCATGAGTGTTTATATATTCTTTTCACATTTTTCACACTTGTACATTAATTATTATAAATTATTATTTGTTTTGAACTCTCCCAAAAACACTATTCATGAGGTTTGGTAGAATTTTAAAAATTCAAACGACGATGTACTCATTGCCAAAACGTAGATGATGTGAACAAGCATGTGCATATTTTTTTCATATTTTTCACACTTGTAAATTTATTATCATGAATTTTTTTATATGTTTTGGTATTTTGAAATTGCTTTGGTATTTTCAATGTGCTTTAATTTTATTTTTTTTCTTAAAGGGTTGAAACTAAGGGTGGGCACGGGCTGGGCCAGGTCCAAATGTAGAGGGATCGGACCGGACCTGCTTAAAAAGGAAACGGGACGGGGCAGGCCAGGTGTTGCAAATCTAATCACTGGAACCGGACCTAACCCGGGCCGGTTCAGGACAGGTCCACGGGTTTTTTTTTTCTCCTTCCAGTTTTGATCGCCTCCTAGACTCACTTTCAGAAAACAACTAATATTAAGGTTTAATTTGCAGGCAGCTACTTTGAAAATTGTAGAGCAGTATGTTGATTCCTTTGGTAATATCGCTAGCCTAGATCCTTCGCTTGTTCCACCATGTTCGAAACCTCTGGATCAAGCTCTCATCAAGCGATCTCCGATTAGGGAGAGAGCTGGGTTTATGGCGGGTGAGCTGGGTATATGTCTGGTTATGCTTTGTCAAGGTTGGAGAAGACGAGAGGAAGAAAGGGGTTAAGCTGGGTTTAAGGCGAGTGAGATGGGAGAGAGAGGGGGGAGGAAATCGAGAGAGATAGAGAGAGGAGACTCGAAGTGGAGTCAAGACAGAAAGATAGGGTGAGGGGCGGGTTAAGTGAGCTAGATCTGAGAATAAGTAAGAGAAGGTAATAGAAAATAGAGGCCCAGAGGGTAGAGATTTAATCAGTAGGAATGAACAGAGGGGACCCGTTTTCTCTAATTTTTAGAACCGGCCCGTCTTGTTATTTACCAAGAACCAGCCCGGCCCACCTTGATTTGTATTTATAATTTTTGGACCTTCCCCGTACCCGCCCCAAACTACAAGGATCCACCTTGACCCATGGGTCTAGGACCCGTTTGCCTACCCCTAGTTGAAACAGATTACTTGTAGGTAAGCTTCTTAATGCGTGACTGTTAACAACCCGACTAATTAATGTGTTGACTCGAAATCCTGTTATTTTTGTGTCGGGTTATCAGGTCATGCAAGAAATTGTCATGATCTATAAAACTAGGAGAATAGAAGAACTTAATAAAATCACTTAATACTACAATCTAATGATATTCATCTTTACTTGTAAGTAACGAGTTTGATACCAATTCATTGTATAAGAAAAACTTAAAAAAGTAAAAAAATAAGTGCGTTCTTTAAATTGAAATAAAATCAAAAAAAGAAGTTAAGTCGGATCTTAAAATTATACACATTAGAATTGAAGTTAGAAAAAGGAAAAACAATTACTTGTTAGAAATCATGGGCAAACTTAAACATATAAATCAAGTTAGGAAATTACCTAACAGGATCAGATGATATAAAAACGTTCCTTTGGTCCGCCTACACAAGTCCTAGGGTTTGAGTCTAAACCCTAGATTGAGCATGAAGGATATGATGGCTAAGGTAAAGTTATATTAGACCTATTTTCGATTGTTTATACTCTTGCATTCGCAACAATCTCCTAATGAACTCTTTATATAGTGTTTATTTGAGGAATTTAGGAGAATTATGGGCCAACTTGCTTATCAAGTTTAAGCCCAATTCCCAATTTGAATGGATTACCATAAGATCAATTATATTTAATTAATTTTATAATCTAAAATCCTCATATATTATCTTTTTTTGGTGAAAAAGAAAAGTGGTGATATACTCATCCTATTATCTTATCTTCTCACCCCACATTTTAGTAAAAATGTTAATGGCATGTTTATCCTTTTATAAAAAGACTTTTAAACCCTTATTTATTTTATTATAGCTCAAAAAAAAATAAAAATAAAAACCTAGAAAATGAACCTAGCTACCATTTCCCCTGTCCCCACCCCGTTTCTCTCTCTCCTCACCACCGTCTCTCCATCTCTCCCTCAAACTGGGAAAACTAAAAAATCTCCCTCCTCATCACCCACCACCACTCCATAACCCAGCACCCACCCCACTGTTGTCCAACTATGTTCCATCAAAATTGCATTTCAACCATCGCTGACAAAGAAAGGGGGTCCTTGTCCTTTCTCTCCCCCGTGCTTCTCTCTCTTCTTCCCCTACCGTTTCTCTCTTCCTCCCTTCCCGTTTCTCTCTCTACTTCCCTCTCCCGTTTTTCTCTCTTCCCAAAGGAGATGCCACCAAGCATGTGTCAAAGGTTTTGGTTGACAAAGAGAGGGGGTGGTGCGGCTAGGGTGATGACATTTTGATAAATTACAATAGAATGAGTTTAGATATAAATTAAAGGAAATTTTAGGAATAATAGTGGGTGAAGAAATAACATTTTAATTTTTTAACCATTTATAGTGGGTCAAATTATAAGGTGGATAGGAAAATAAAACAATAGGATGGGTCTAGTAGCACTCAAAAAAAAATCCTAGCCACTAAGGAGAAGAGGTAGAGCGCCTTTGCATCCTCCATCTGCTTTTCCTCATTCTATTTTTTCCTTCTCATTTGTATCTTTCTTCGGATGAATAACATCCCCTTGTGGTGATTTCTCATTTGGTGGTTTCTCTTGTCATGATTTCATCTAGCTAAGCCATGCTCGGATTTAAGTTCCCCATCAAACACTTCGTAACTACAAAAGGAATCCGTACAAAAACATTCGAAGAATCCTTAGAAAACCTTCACAAATATATTTCTCGGTCTTCGGGTGGTCCCAGTGTGCATCCGTCTCTGTGTAGGATACAAGTTTCGTTTCATATACGAACATAACACAATTATTATCAAAAATATATATAATCGTAAAATACATGTATCTCAAATTTATTTGTTCATGCTACAAACCCTAATTAAAATTGACACAAAACTGGCTAATTTCCTACATAAAGAGCAAAGGAAAGACCATTTCATATTCCAACTCCATTTTTTGGGGAAACTAAAGTCTCTATTTCGAATTTATGACTCTCATGAACAATCTTATGTGTCTTTTCCTGTGGATTGTATAATAGCAAGCCGTAGTTGCCTCCGATCAGATAGAAGCTCAACAAAACTTGCCCATTCTCCAAAATGCATACAGGCTCAATATAACTTAAGGCACTTTCACGTAAACTCCATCCTGAAGTAGGGATGATGAATTTAGTCCAAGATTCCGCAAAGCCGTACTCCTTCATCACCCAAATTGTAATCGCAGGATGGACGGGATTTGTGTTATAACTAACAAACAGAGAATTATTTCGTATGTCCGTCCCAATTGTCACGGAGGTATTTTCATGGGCAAGTTCGGGCAGTGGCACCGTATTTCGTTGAAACTTCTCCTGCACTAAATCGAAAGCGATGATTCTTGCAAGCTTTGGTTGCCGCCAATGTATAGCTCCATTTAAGAAGCATCCGATCCCATCCAAGTCCACATACTTGAGGTTTTCAGTGGTTTTCCATGACCCCTTTTTAGTGAAAAGACAGCGATTGTGGTGGTAGTAAGCGCACCTGTTGCTGTTTTACAGTCGATTCTCATTACGACCTTGTAATCGTGAGTGGTGGAATCATAACCGAATCCTTCGAACAATTGACCACTCGAAGGAAAAGAAGTTGGTAATAGTGGTAACCTGTTGACGTCTCCGGTGCTAGGGTTGTATAAGAACAAGGAGTCGTAGGTCTGTTGATGTAAACATATCAAGCCGTTGCAAGAACCCACAACTGTTGTGCCATCCAGCCGTTTTGGTAAACGAAGCTCTGTGCTTGCAACACAACTACCATCATCCTAATCCTTCGTGTCGAATAATAATAGTTCTTTGTAGTCTATGGATTCCGGAGGTCTGATTGAAGAAAGAAGTCTGAATCTGTTCTGCGCGGGTACAATGCTTCATAACAAAATAATAATCAGAGATTAAAGCCCGCCATGACTTGCACACACACCGGAATCTTATTAGAGATTTGACTGGAAGCCTTGACAGTATCTCAATAACAATGTCATCATCGTACTCATCGGTAAGAGGCCGTAGAAGCAGTTGCTGCCGCCGGCATGGGAGGTCCTTCGCCAGGTTAAGTTTCCTAGTTATAATTCGCGAAGCCAGAGCACCATGTATACAGCTTTGTTAAAGGCGGTTTCTTTTATGAAGAAAAAATTGAAGCTTTACTTGGTACGCAAGTCAATATATATAATTGACCAAATAAATTATTGTCAAAATTTTAATTCATCAGCTTGATAATAAAATACGGATTGAATTTATTCTGGGATAGAAATATTAATCCAAATAAAACAAAAGGAAATCAAATTTAATCCTAATATAATAGGAAATTGATGATCCAAATCCTTATAAAAGTAGGAACTTAAGAACTAAAACCTCGATCAATATATATATAGGGAAATTAACACTCCTAAAATCTCGTTTGGCACTCCAAACTTTCTATAATTAGAAAGAAAAATAAATTTGTGTGGAGTGTAAAATGAGATTTTTGGAGTGCTAATAACAGTTCCCTATATATAGAGAGAGAGAGAGAGAGAGAGAGAGAGTAACATCCTTGAATTTAATGTGGCGTCCACTCCTATCCTCGTCACCAACACCATTGCACCAACACCTTTATGGCGAATTTTGACTAAGTTACACAATACATCATCTAATAACTTGAGAAGCAAGCAAGCTGAATTCCATCCTTAGCAACGACCCCAAGAGCAGACCTGTCAGGAGCATTATTGTTAATTAACTGCAGAAATTGCATGAGTGGAATCATTTTTACTACCATCTTCTCTTCTGCGTGCCAATAACTAATGCAAGCTTTAAGCCTTCAGAGTATGAGCAGCAGAAGAAATCCCGCCATGCGCGCCTGTAACTACTCCGACTCGTTAGATACAGTACAAATTGATTGAAAGGATGAATGGACAAATCTCAATTGATGAACGTATCAAAATATCCTTATTGGGGTCGTGATCAATTTAAATTGAAATTACAAAATCTCCTTGAAGAAAAAAAGAAAAACGCAGTTGAGGCATGCAACTGATTCCAGTCGTTGATGTTTGTCATGCAGCAATGAAAAGAATCGCATCGGCACCTTTGGTTCTAGCATACATGCAAGATTTGTCAAGCGTCAACCATACATTCCATGCACAACGGAGGCCGTCGGTCATGTTTTGGGTGGACAATTGAAGACCAAACCCTTGTAACAGGTTATATATAAAGGCTTTACTGCAAATTTGCCCCCTAAACCCTTGGGTTGTTTAACTTTGGCCCTTCAATTAGTTTTCATCCAAAATTGCTCCAGATACTTTTAAAAATAAAGATTTAAACCGATTTATACTCTTTTATTTTTACCAATTATCTTCCTGAACTTTTGAAAATCCAATTCCCGCCTCAACATTAGGACTTTTAAATTGTCCGTCCATATTTATCACATGGACAACATGCGAGTCACTTATTTAAGAGGGTAAAATGAAGTTTCACCTCCACTAAAGCCCACACTGGCGATTCTATTCTACTCTCTCCAAGTTGTGGTGGTATAATATCGACCTTGGAGCGACTCATCTAAGTGCCAAAAAATGATGTTTTCACCCCCTTATGTGGCTCACGTATTGTCCATGTGACAAATATGGGTGAAATTTTCGATCTAATGTCAAGTAAGTGGGGAGATAATTAACTATATCTCAAAGTGCAGGAATAATTGATTGAAATTAAAGTTCACGGTAGGAATTAACAATGACATACAAGTTTAAGTGATAAATCAATGAAAACCTCAAATTATTGTATCTAATTAGGACAATAGTAGTGTTTGAAATACAATTTACGCAAGTACTAAACCTAAGTAGTGTGCAAGACGGTCGGGTCTTTGACTTTGCTATGTGAGTAGTTCTGTCAACTTTTGTATCGTGTCCTATATATGTTACCTCATTCCGTCAATTTTATTAGAAAAATCGTTACCTTAGTTAACGTAGGACTGGCGTTTTGCTCAAAACTTGGCATCTTTGTTTGGCTATAGTTCCACAACAAAGTTAACAATTTTCCCGGACAACTTGACGGAATAGGGCAGCATAAGACACAAAATGAAAGCACAACGAGCATAGTCACACAGTTGCAAGTTCAGGAAAAGTGAGATTCTCGTCAACGCACGAACGAAAAACACTGCATTACAAAACTCACCATCCCAATTGACAAGCAGTTGAGGCATCCAAACTTATTCAACTTCACTCATTGATACACAAGTACAATTATCACACGTCCAACTTAAGTCTGTGTTTGAACCTTCTGTGGTCAACCAAGTTTGTGTTCGAACAAGCGGGCTCTAATCTCCCTAAACTGACTTATAAGGAAATGTCTTTACCAAAAAGTTCAGCTATTCCCTTCTGAGGGTCATTCTGTTTCACAATTGACTCTCCTACCAAAACCGCTTTAACACCAGCTTCTTGTACATAGGCAATGTCATCTGGTGTAAACAGTCCAGATTCTCCTACCACAATGATGTCTCTCTGACGGATCAATTCGCCACGCTCTCCTTCAAGAAGCTTCTTTGTGTTACTAGTATCAACCTCAAATGTTTCTGCAGTCAAAGCAAATATAAGGTTATCATATTACAATTAAAGTTTACACGCAACACACGGCCCAATAACTGACAGATAGAAAACATGAACATGGGCAGGTTTAACGCTCATCCCCTTCCATGTATAGCTTGACAACCTGTCTAATTCACCCCATCAACATCCCTCTTAAAAAGAAATTAATAATTGATATAAGAAGACCGAACTACTAATTATGCTGCCTAAACCACAAACAGTTATTATGCCTATACTAATGCATGTTAGGGGGCAAAGGGAAAAGTGTTTTGAGGATCCTATCACAAATTCAAACAGGTAGTACATTATTGAAGGCTTTTGAAAAGTTCTCACATATTACTCCAAAATACTAGTTGACGGTTGATTGTCTTTCATAAAAATATGAGATAAAGATGAAATGATCAGCAAACAGCCATATTGTATATGACAAGGAAACAGAAGTTTCATAGCATAAGCCAATTCATAGAGCTTAGGAAATTTTACCAAGATTGCGGTTGTTGATGCCAATTAACTCAACCCCCTCAATGCCAAGAACACGGTCCATTTCCCTCTCATCATGCACCTGTAACAATGTAACACACGAGATGTTTTGGGATTACATTTCAATGGATATGGTTTTTTTTTCTTTTTGATAAAAGGATACACACACAAACAAACAAACACAAAAGGATATGTTGTAACTGATGGATAACTCTGTATCCAAAAGCAGCCCAAAATAGGCCAGACATTCAAGAATAGTAAACTCACTTAGACAAGGGCGGATTTTCCCAGTTGAAACCCCACAAAAGTTCCAACATACAAACAGAAGTATAAAAAACTAATAATGGAGAAAGAAGTGCATCTCAAACCTCAACAAGTGTTGCCATGCCAAGCATCTTGCAGATCTTTGTCATGTATTTGATGTCAAGGTCAGGCAAAACAGCAGCAATCAAAAGAATCGCATCTGCACCTTTGGTTCGAGCATAGTAGATTTGCCAAGCCTCGATGATAAATTCTTTGCACAACAGAGGGCACTGCATATTTTGCTAGTGTTAGAATAAATTATACGCAAAGTACACCCTAGCATGTGCAGAATACAACAAAAAGAGGAACACTGCTTACGAACAAACCTTAACTCCAGCATTTCTTATCGCCACCATATTTTCATAGCTTCCCTAATTGATTAAGCAAAAAGCAAGTGAGATACAGCTAATAGGTTTGCTTTTAATATCCTAATAAGTTTGCTTTCAATATCGATGACTTTTAAGAAAGATCGAATTGATTTGCTCACCTGAAAATACTTTTCATCTGCCAAAACACTAAGACAAGCAGCTCCCCCTTTTTCATAAGCTTGTGCAATTTCAACCTATCATGACAAATCATTTGAAGAATAAGAACTAGTGAGAAGGTTGGGGGAGAAAAACATTTTCTCACACAAAAACGAGGGAGGGCCACTCATGTTTTCTTTTCCCGAAAGTTATATAGTTATATCAGAAATGAGACAACGTCACAATGCGCACACACATACAATGCTTTTGTTCCAAACCAACCTCGTGAAAGTCATTAGAATATGAGGATAACGAATACATTCTGATCAGCATTATAGAACGAGGTTCCAAAAATAGAAAATGAGCTTCCTCTATTCCGATGAGCATGAACTCGTCAGTTTAGCATACAGAATCTGGTACCACCACATCAGGAATAGAAACAAACTCCCAAATACAGGAATAAGGATTGAAAAGATGCAGACTTACAGGATCAAAATTTTCCCTCAAAACTCCTCTACTTGGGGAAGCCTTCTTCACTTCAGCAATCAAACCGGGCAGACCAGTTCGTGAATGCGCCGCCCTCAGAGCTCCAACAAAATCCCTCACCGGCGGAGCATTGTCAAGATCTTTCTTCAATGAATACAGAGGTTGCCTCTGCTTCAACTGAATCAATATCATTAGCAGTAATCAAAATTAGCAACTCAACATATGCAAAATTAGACCAAATTTTTTGATTTTTCGAGCAACCAAATTCACGAAAACGCAAAGCGGACGACTTTACCTGAGCAACTTGAGTGTCCTTGTGCCATATGATTTCCTCCAGAATATTCCGTGGAGTGTTGCCCTCGTTCTGCAACCGGAACTCGAAAGGTCCCACATAGTGCTGAGGGGGTCCTGTGGGAGGCCTCCTCCTGATTCTAATTCCCTGACTCGCAGCCACCTCATTGTGGTACATACCCACCTCCCATTCCTTGATTTTCAGCTCAACTTTCTCCGGCTCCTGTTCACCTTCCACCGCAACCGCCGACAGCGCAGTGCCCTTAGACTCCATCTAATAAAAAACAAACAATTACCCAGAATTTCAAACACCATTTCAATGCAGTTTAAAGTAAAATCCAGCAAAAAGTAGAAGAGAATTAAGAAATCTAAAGAACTTAGAACCTGCTGAGCTCGAACAAAGGAAAAAGACGACGAAGGAAGAGAGAGCCACTTTGCTCTACGAGCGTCGAAAGCGGAGGCGGAAATGGGGTTTCTGGGGCGGGAAGAGAGAGAAGCAACAGCCCGGAAGGAAGCCAAGCCCTCCATTGTTGGATCGCATGGGGATTTGCTGAGCAAAAACGAAAGGGGATGTCATTGAGTCCTGGTCTGTGGGCTAGGGCTGGGGAAAGTCAAACTACCTGAGAAGTCAGAATTACTAGAAAAGAAAGCACAGTTTTACGGTTTATTAAGCAACGAATTATATTTAGTAGGATATTTAAGTCGACAAATTAAAAAGAAAAAAAAAGTTAAAAATATAGTAGTGAGGTTTACAATATTGTCAAAATAGGATTCTATACTCAAGAATCTCAACAGAAAGTCTCATCTTAATTTTCAAAATTTTACAGTGAGGTGAAGATGAAAAATAATAGATTGAACGGTGATTTATGTATGAATTTGTAAAACTGACTGAAAAACCGTAAATGTAATCCACGTTTTTTTTTTTTGTAAAAATTGCTAATTTTTTATTTTCTCAAAATATTTTCTATGAGCATTAAGGAAATCTTTATAATATATTTGGAAGCGGATTTATGATTTATTGAGCAACATATATATTTAGTGGAATATTTAAACCGAAAAGTAAAAAAAATAAGTGAAAAATATAGAGATGTTTAAATATATATTTAGTGTGTCTGTGTGTGTATATATATATATATTTTTTTTTTTAATTAGAGATGGTTTTATTAATACGTATTCATGTTTGGATAAAAGAAAAGTTAACCAAAAAAAAAGTTCAAATATCTTTAAATTTAGGTTTTAAATACTTGATTACAAGTATTTAAATATGAACTATAATAGATTTTGCACAGAAAAGTATATTTTGAAGAACATGAATATGATAATTTATTGAGCAACAAATGTATATTTAATAGAATATTTAAGCCAAAAACTAAAAAAATAAGTGAAAAATATAGTAGTGAGGACCAAAACATTGTCAAATGAGGTTCTACACTCAATAATCTCACCTTAATTTTCAAAACTTCACAGTGAGGCAAAGGTGAAAAACAATAGATTGAATGGTGATTTATCTACGAATTTGCAAACCGACCGAAAACCATGAGTGTTGATCCATCTTTTTTTTCGAAATATTGTTCATGAGCATTAAGGAAATCTTTATAATGTATTTGGAAGCGAATTTATGATTTATTGAGCAACAAGTGTATATTTAGTAGAATATTTAAGCTGAAAAGTAAAATAAAAAGTGAAAAATATAGAGATGTTAAAATGTATATTTAGTGTTTTTAAAAAAAAAAAATTAGAGATGATAAAATCACCTGTGAGTAAGGCTTAAACAAAAAAAATAACAAAATTTTGTTTTGTTAAATTGCCTTTTACCCTATTTTGGTTAACAAAGATAGTTTTATTAATATGTATAGTTTAGATTTAGATAAAAGAAAAACTAACAAAAAAAAAAAGGTTAAAATATCTTTAAATTTAAATTTTAAATCGTTAATTACAAATGTTTGCACGGAAAAATATATTTTAAAGAATATGAATATGATAGTTTGATGTAGTGGTAAGAGAAATAAAACAAAAATATACAAGCTATCATATTCATGTTCTTCAAAATATATGATAGTTTGTTAAATAGCTTTCACCTTCAATAATTTGAATCATTTTTGTATATTTTTGTTTTATTTCTCTTCCCACCACTGCAAACTATCATATTCATGGTCATCAAAATATATTTTTTCATGCGTGGAGCCCTGACTAGTTTTCTTAGCACCGGGAGTTCGCCTCGTTCTGCAACAGCACATCATACTTGCTTGAAGCTCTTCTCACTGTAAGAACTTCCGAAATCCGTTGAAGATAGCTTATAGTTCACCACTTCCTTATGTCCCTCAGTCTCCTTCTCAGGATCTGAAACCAGTCACAGCTTCGTATCAGCAACACAAAATAAGGCAGATTTGCTATAAAGCACAAAACAACAGTTTTGCATAACCCTCACGGAATACGTGCAATCTCACCCGAAACTTTCATTGTTTAACTTCCCGCGTTCATAATCTCAACTCATTACTCATCCACAATTTTCAGTTGTTCTGTTTTGAAAATCTCCGGTGATCGCAACTTTTTCAGCCATTTATAGAAAGCAAAAGATGTAATTTTCTTACGTGTTGGGCACGAAATAGGATTCTCCGCTCACTAGTACTCAAGTCTACCGCTAGCTGCTTCAGAAACAACCTTCGGTTTAGTTGCTTTGGAGACGCCACATCCAAATCCATGGATCCACTTGCCTGTCAGCGAAATAATCAGTTGTGAGTTTAAATGTTTAACTCTCTCGGCTTCAACCTATCTAGATTGTTCATGGAGTCATGGAGAGATGTAGCAAATTAGTCCTTCACCTGTAAGAATTTGTCGTACTTTGATATGCTGGCTTCACAAGTATCCGGTATCAACCGTAAAGCTTCTTCCTCTATCACTGTATCGTAAATCCTTCTTCGTGGTAGATTTGTTTGATGCTGCTGCAGCCATCTAACATAACGGTCTTTCAGACAAAGTTCTACAATATTGAAACTTCGATGAATAATACGAAGCTAAAACTATCGCACCTCTTTAAATTGTCCGCTCGTACTTGGAGGACTGACGGCTAAATAAGCTTACGCCATTAGCTCCAATGGCCAACCAGTGATTTGTACAGGATAGCACTAAGATCTGCTTAAGTTATAAATTAAAACGGAAGTACAACATAAAGGAGGAATACATAATTTGTAATATCTCAGAGGTACTAAACCGAAAATATGAGGTGCGAAAAAAGCTTAAAATTACTACAAAGGAAAAGAATGAATGAAGATTAAACATGATTTGTTTGAGTTATCGAGCACTTACGCTGATAATCCATGCTTTCTCAAAACTTCCAACTTCTCCTTATAACATTTGTCCGATTTTGAAAGTGACACTGGCACCTCAACAGAATCTCTAGGGTTGGTGCCCTCCCTTGGGACAAATCCATAGGATAGCAACCGCTCTCCGTTAGATTTCTTTCCATAAGAAATGAAAACCTGCATTAAGTGATGAAAAGCATCACTAGACGTGTTGATGATTAAAAACATAACCAGCTAGTGATTAACCACCATGGAATTAATGCTTTCGATTATTTGTTTGGTGGCATTTTTTCTTGCAACTTCAACGATGGATTTAGATCGAACGTTGTGAAAAATTTTCATTGTTTACCTGCACACCTGGCTCATATGCCTCATCTTTTGAAAAGACAACTCCCTGTGATGATTTATCATAATCCAAAAATGCGTCTACCTACACCGTTCAAATTAAGATGCACACAGTGAGTAAAACTTGTGCAGCTAATCCTTCGGATCATGTTTATCAAATGAGAACTCATCGACGAACCTTACAACTATGATTCAGCATATCTGCCCAAGGAACCAAGGCAACCTTTCCACCCAACAAGGGTAAGGTGACAGAGAGTTAAAAAAAAAAATTTACTTTTAAGAGAGTCTCATTAGTATTTATCTTTTCTAACTGCGGTTGTTTTTTGTCTAGTACTATCATTTAATGGTTTTTCAGTAACAAATATTAAACTTTACATTAATGAGTTACAAATTTGATATCATATTTGTACAATTTATCCCAAATTTTTCCACTTCTTACGTAAAAATATCATGGTATGTGAGTGTAATTTTAATCTCATTGTCGCTTCTGTTAACTTTTCACTTAATACTAGAGGTAAATTAGACATTTCATTTCTTGTGTTAGACATTTTGATATCAATCATCATGTTCATACTGTTAATATGATTGATACTTTGATTGCATAATTGTTGATATTTGCACAATATATTTAACAGTAGGACGATGTAATATGACAAAATTGAAGCACGTTACGGCTTATAAAACTAAATTAGAGGACGAAAATGAAACTCGAATATATATATATATATATATATATATATATATTACAACAATTGCAGGAATCAACCTATGTACTTTTCCTAAAAATGTTGTGCAAACCATTTTCTGCCAAAAAATAAATGTCACAAACTCACAAACTCATCTTTAGGGTTTACAATTCAATTCAGAGGACCAACATTCAAAGTTAACCCAGATGTCACACGTGCCAACAAACGTAGGGGAAGTGGGGAACTTTAAACGGCGTCGTTATGATGGACTTGGCTCAGTGGCCCAGTGCTAAAGGCTTGAATAGGAAACCTCAAAATCATCAAATCTCATCAATCTTCCAAACATGTCGTTCGCTAATGCCACCTTCATGTCCTGCAACTTCCTATCCCTTCCACTCAAGAACCCGACTCTCAGAAGCTCACTGCTCCAACCCCAAAACTCCAATCCCAGAATTTCACTTTCCCAGAAAAGCTCAAAAGTTCCAACCTTTTCTGCAACCCAATTTTGCAAAACTTCAATCTTTACATCCCACAAGGAAAAGGGTCGTCTCCAAATTTGTCGGAGTACCTTGAATGGTCAGAAACCAGAAGACCCAGTTTTGAGTGAGGGAGAAAATGGAGGTGCAGGGAAGAACTGGACGACTTCAATTTTGCTGTTTGTTTTGTGGGGGGCACTCATGTTCTATGTGCTCACTCTTTCCCCGAACCAGACTCCGGTATTGTGCAATTCAGATTGTAAATGTAGTGTTAAAAGTGCTTTTGTTTGCCCGTTTGGAAGTGCTTCTCTAGAAGCACGTTGAACTTTTGAAAAAAAAAATTCAAAGTGCTTCGTGGAGAAGCAGTGGGAGTGATAATTCCAAAGTGTTTTTCTTTCTAACCCATAAGCATGTTTAATTGTCATGAAGCGCTTTTGGTATCTGAAAGTGTTTTTAGCTATCCTAGAAGCACTTATGAACTGGCCCGAAATTTATTTGTTTCATTGCTTTGTGCAACTTAATGAGGCAGAATTCAGTTCTCTGTTGAAGTAGTTGTAGTGCTTGCTAGAAGCAAAGACATTTGTTTGCAATTCTGCTGTTATTCTTTTACATTTGTGTTTGGATTCACTAAATTTCATTTGGAAGGTTTAATTTCGTTGCTTCGTACTGAAATGGTTACTTATGTCAAAAGACACTATTAAAAGCAACAAGTTAAACTGTTAAGCGTTATTGCTTTCGAATTTCGAATTGAAGGAATAATCCCTAGCTGGGATGTTTTCGAGGATTTATTGGCTTACTGACCTTCCTGAAATGTACGATAGTTCTTGTAGTGCTGCAACTTGCTGTCCTAAATCGTGATTTTGGAAAAACTAATAATCCCTAGCGGTTGTAAAATATCGATTAAACTAGTTTTTTCTTTTATTAAACTGATGTGAGACGGTGAGAGCATGTCGTCTAACGTTTGATTTCCCTGTTGCTCAATTGATCTTTGCAATGTCTGCAAACTAGGCTTTGTGATTATCCTACATTTCACATTCTTAACATATGGTCTTTTGACTTTTTCAGTCAAGGGACATGTATTTCTTGAAGAAACTCTTGAATTTGAAGGGAGATGACGGTTTTCGAATGAATGACGTGCTTGTGTCTGTTTGGTACATAATGGGTTTGTGGCCTTTGGTCTATAGCATGTTGATGCTTCCAACAGCGAGAAGGTAACATTGTTTTCTCGGTTTTAAAATTCTCTGATCTTTTCTTTTGGTTTGTGATTCTATTTATTTATTTGGAAGAAATCAGAGTAGATTATTATCAGTGAGTCAAATAAATTTCTCTGTAAACAACTCTTGATGTATGTAATACAACGAATGATGCCTCTGAGGTACCTGAGAGTCAACATCTCTTCTAAAAATGTGTCTGCAGCTGTGGCAATACTCTTTGACTTCCGAATGCGTGGACAATTGGATTTATCTGTATTATCCATCCTTTTACGTGCAGCTCAAAACGCAAAGTTCCCGTCTGGCCTTTCTTGATACTTTCATGCTTTGGCGGTGTATACGCTCTTCTTCCCTATTTTGTACTGTGGAAGCCACCACCACCTCCTGTTGACGAAAGTGAGCTCACAAGATGGCCTCTCAACTTTCTAGAATCTAAATTGACTGCTTGGGTAAGGAACCACCTCTTGTTCATGCTTTTCGCTGTTTATGATTTCTTAAAAGATTAATTTAAACATGCAGCTGTTTATATATCACTTTCTTGGAAGATATTAGCCTCCGGCCAAAAACATTCAATTGATCTTAAAAAATCGATATTTTCTTAAATTTTTCTTTCTTCTATGTTTTAGTTACTCGTGTATAAACAATGTTCATTGGGGTTAGAATCGGAGGAATTAGCATAATTGACTTGAAGCATTTTGATTAATGTCGGTTTAAGTAAATTGCTCTTCAAGTTGTTTTGGAAAATGAAAGTAATACAGTTACGCATCAGATATCACTTGCTGCAGCACTGGGATTAGTAATCTATGCAGGCCTGGCTAGTGGGGCTGACTGGATTGAATATTACCAGTACTTCAATGAAAGCAAATTTGTAAGTCGCTCAATCATCAACACTTCACAGACACTTATATTTTTTTGGTCCAGCACCGGTTGTGCGCACGGATGTAAATTTGGCTTAATGGCAAACTTATAAAACCCTCATAACTAGCAGATGTAGGACATGGGAAAATTTGACCAAAACATAACGAATTTGGAACCTTCATGTTGCAGATCCATGTGATGAGCCTTGATTTCACTCTACTATCTGCATTTGCTCCGTTTTGGGTCTACAACGATATGACCTCCCGGAAATGGTGATTGTTTTACGGATGTCTCTACTTCTCCCAAGTGCGAGTTCTAAATTCCTTGGGAAAAACTAATGTGGTGCAATATTCAAACACTTTCTTTTACTTTTGCAGGTTTGACAAAGGTTCTTGGCTTCTGTTCTTATCATTGGTGCCACTCATAGGCCCTGCTTTGTATCTCGTCTTACGGCCACCACTATCAGCAGAAGCAGCTGCGCCGAGCCTCACGGAACCAAAATAGTATTCGAATCCTTTGTATCGCTTGCACACCATAACCAAGATGTATAAGGATTATGACTCTGAAGAGAAGCATCTTGCATCAGAAACGCGCTCAAATATGAACTCCCAGTAAGCACACTTGTGGACGTGCTTAAGGGACAATCATTCATACAATTGAAGAATTCCGATTACTTTTAACAGAGTTAGAAGTCGTTCGGATAAGGCGTCAGTAGCGTTTTCGATTACCTTAAGCAACAGTTATGCTCCCTATCATATGAAGTATGCTTCCTGCCACGCTGAAAAAAACCGAACCAAACAGTAATTTCAGTTCGGTTTTGGCAAAAAACCGAACGGATTGGAACCGAATCCAACCCTACATTTAACCACATGCATCGCAACGAACTAAAAAACCTTTGCAATAGCAGGCATCGAATTACTGAAATATATGAAAAGTTCGAAACAAACAAAAAATTAAGTCGTCAAGAAAAATATAGCACAACAGAGTAAAGGAGACATTAGCCGTTCTCGTTCACGCATACAACTTGTTTAGCTCATTTTTGAACTTGCCCTTGATCTGTTCTCTCTTAATCTTCATAGCAGCGGTAACCAATCCGGACTCCGGTGTCCAAGGCTCGGGCACCAACTTAATCTTGGCAGGAAGTTCGAACTTGTCCAATTTCAACGCTTTTGCTACCTGCAAAAGATGCTAGAAATTTATTTACGGAACAAAATGACTCGACTCCGGGAAATCATCTACTAGGTAATAAGGTGAGATGAACAGACCTTGGAGAGGGACTGCTGAACCTCACCCACTGTTTCAGCCTTTTCACAGAGCTCGGGAAAATCATTGTACTTGACGCCGGCTTCCTGGGCCCACTTCTCGAGGGCCTGGCATGCAGGGACAATTAGAGCTACGCAGTAGTTGTGCGAAGGATCAGCATACACCATGACGTTGTCCACATAATTACTTGATGCTAACGCCGCTTCAACCTGCAGGTAGGGCAGTGACCAATGTAATTAGTATCCCAGAGGAAATGAATTACGGAGTGTTTCCGTCTGGTGACATCTTATCAGAAATAGTACAGGACTTGTAAAGGTACCTTGCCGAGGGAAATGTACTCTCCATGCTGGAGTTTAACGATATCCTTCTTCCTATCAATAATTTCAAGGCATCCATCAGGATGAAACATTCCAATGTCTCCGGTATAAAACCAGCGCATACCCTTCTCATCAACCTGCAGCATGTAATGAGTCATCAATCATTAGCGCTTGTGAGGAATGACGATCATGAAGCAATACATGTACACACACAAAAACACGTACAGGATCATTAGAAATTCACCTTAAACACCTCGTCAGTCTTTTCTTGGTTCTTAAAGTAACCAGCAGTTACACTGTATCCCCCGACAACAATCTCCCCACGAGGCATAGGCTTGTCTGATGACAAGTATCCTCCTTCTTTCCAGGAAACAAGCTGCATTATCAAATAAGGATAACTGTCATACTGAACTCTTCAAAATCCTGATAAATTTACAGCATCATGTCTTCTCTTGTTAATTACTTACATTTTCCTACTCATACGAAGATATATCATCCCATTAGAAAAACGAGGACGGTACTCTGACAACAAAAGCTAGAATAACAGAAAAATGCGCTGGGCATGACACACAGTAAATTCTCTCCTGTTAAACATCCTGCTCTGATTATAAACTTGCAGCATTTTTTCCAGGAATTAGTAATATAATATACCTTAATGTACCCACAAGGAAGGGGAGGACCAACACGGCCCACAGTTGTGTCATCCCACTCGGAAAACGTAGCTCCAGCAAATGTTTCTGTCAAACCATATCCTTGCCCAATAGGAGCCCTGTTAAAAAACAATGGCATGCAAAACTAAATACATTGCATATCCGATAAGAATCAACAAAACCTTTGTGACAATACGGATCACATATTGATAAAACTAGAAGAATAGGCATAGATTCTAATCCAAACACGGTAGAAAGATTAATTTTGATTCTAACTGTTGTAAACAAAGGGATGTTAACCCATTGGACATATTGTGTTCTGTTACCAATATTAGAATAAGCATATGAAGCACTTTCTGCCATGAAATTTCATTTTCCTTGATCAGATAGAGTGCTTGCTTCAACTATTGGCATTAATATCGAAGGAAAAATAATATAAAATAGGTTATTCTTCCAACTATCTGGTTATCTCAAGATGCAAGAGCAATTACCCCATGCAAATATTGATGAATCGCTGTGAATCACCAGATAAAGGAGCACCACCACAGAGCATAAAACGAATGCGTCCTCCAAGTAATGAGCGTATTTTCTTGAAGACAACGACATCCCACAACATACTTTCCAAACCCCAAGCCCCAAACCAGCTTCCTTCTACAGCTGCCAGTCGCCGTCTAAACCCAAGATTAAAAAGATTCTTAGCAAGGCCCCCTTTCTCATTAACCTGTGATACACCATAGTGATTAGTGCAAGCTCAACCTATATGGGGTGTATAAAAGATGCTAACAACCGCATACAAGGTGAATAGTATACACTTCACCTTTTTCAGAACTCCATCTCGAACACGATCTAAAATAGCAGGAACCGCTGTCATGATGGTTGGCTGTAACATAGTTGCATCTCCCTTGGTTCCTTTTTTAACTTTATTTGAAGTGTCTGTTAAAGTCAATGCCGAACCATAACCAATTGAACAACCTGCAGCCAGCATCACAGACTGGACAAACACAGCATGATTACAATTTAACACATGTACAGTACTAATGTAATACAAATATGAAAACAAAGCTACCTCAGCTGCCAGTTCAAAAACGTGAGCCAGGGGCAAGTATGCCAGGAATACATCAGCGCTACACAGACTCGGAACCACTGTCATAACCGCTGCAGTAGTGGCTAAAATGTTGCCATGGGTTATCATGACTCCCTATATCATTACGCACAATATCATGTTAACAAAAATAAAGTATTAGAAAATAAGTAGTCATGTTCGGATATCTCACACTACATTATTCAATTAACGATGATTTGAGAACTGTCACATAAAAATTCTTATATCATAATAAGTACTCAAGTTTTTAACACAGATAGCCAAATGGAAAGATTTACAAGACCATATTCTGGATCAGCTTTACTGCTCAAATGGCAAACAATAAATTTGCAATAAAGGGCTAGCGAAACAAACCTTCGGTAGACCTGTACTTCCACTTGTATACATAATAACAGCAATATCATTCTTGGACGGTAAACTTGGAGGAACAGGACTCTCTTTTCCAAGTTTCTCAACTTCAGAAAAGGATGCAACTTTCAAATCGCCCATACTTCCAGATACGCTAGTATCTGAACTTCCCTCGTCTTCAAAATAAATAACATTCTGAATAGTGTTTAGGCTTGAGGTTATAGCAGCCAACTTTTTCAACTGCTTGGAATCACAGATCAATGTCGAAACTTGGGTCTGTCAATGTACAAAAGCTCTATATGAGGACAATCCATGTTCTCTATTTTCAGTCTTTATAGATAAACATACAATAGCCGGTTAAATAAATTTAATACACTCATAAAGAATAGAAAAGCAGGGATTTTTGCCACACACCTCATTAAGGGAGTGAATTAACGCATCCTCTCCTAGTGAAGCATAAATAGTGACAACGGTAATATTCTGCCGGAAGAATCCCTGGAATCCAAAACCAACATAATTTAAGAAGTGGCTGTGCACTCACAAGTCCTTAGACAAAAAAATAAAGAAATTTCCAAGAACGAAAACAGACACCACAAGGCAGACATAAAAAAAATTATGAAAGGTACCTGAAAGGCAATAAGCCACTCTGCGCGGGTTTCTGAGAAAATTGCTGCACGGGTATCCACATTATGACCTAACTTAATAAGACCAGATGCAAAGTTGCAAGCACGATCAAACACTTCTCCATAAGATTGCCATTCATACTCTCCCATGTGAAGCTTCTCAAACTTCCTTCCATCGCTAGCTGTAACAAACTCCCTTCCAATAAACTTCCTTGCTCCAAGAAATCGGTTATGTGAGTACTTTTTACAAGATTGTTCAAAAAGGGCTGCCATGGTTGTGGCTCCTTTCTGAGGAACTTCAATCAACTCAGTTTCCCGAGCATTGCGCATTGCATAACCTGCCTCACCACCAACTTCTACCGGAACTCCTCTCTGCTTCCCCTTTTTCTTCCCCCCAAACACGGTGGCCAGAAATGCAGGTATAAGTACGGCAACAACAACAGCACCAACAATGCCGTAAGTTCCATAGCCTTTCAGAACTGACAAGTGATCATCAGCAACCATACCGTCTTGCACCGGTGAGTTAAACACAATTTTCTCAGAATCCTCCATCACTGAACGTTTGTTAATATGAAATTACTCCTTCCTGAATAGAGTGCACGGTTACCTAAAATAGAAGGCAATGTCATCAATATTTTAGCCTACAAGCAGTTAAATAAGGAAATAAATTATATAATTAGAAAGACTTCCAGACATACTAATCTGTGCGTATTACTACTGTTCCGTGTATATCACATTCATAAACTTTTAAAACACTTCAACTTTGCCTAACATGGAATGCACATGAGTGAAGTGCATCACCATCGACTGATCGACAAGAGAATTTCATTAACTTTCTTCTACAGAAACCACAGGGCCAATTCAGTGACGTTCACAGACACAAATAACAAATGAATTAACTCTAAACAGCTTCCATCCATATGAATTCTTCCATTCGAAACGCTATGAACCCGAAAGTATAATTATCACACTCTGATGGTACTAATTTTCAGAAGAAAAAAACTCCACTAATCAATACCCAGATGTCAGAAAATTCATATCTTTCTTTTTCCAGTATTAAATCAAACATATAATCCAAAACCCATCATGTAAAATTGCTGCAATCGATCAATCGAACATGATCAAACAGCCACACCCACTTCGCTATTAGCAAACAAAATCAACAATTTCAACACAAAATTACACCAAAAACAAAACCCAATTGCCACAAAATCCATACAATATTACGCTAAACCATTCTTCATCAACAAGAAACAATCAAACCTTGAATATATATAAAAAATTAAAACAAATCTTACAACAAAACACATCCCGTTAAAAATAACATCAATTACTGCAAAAAAAGAAAAAAATGAGACTCAACCAAAAATGTGAAGAAAAAAAATCCCGAAATACACCTCC